GTTAGAGTTGACGGTGGTTAAATACAGGTCTTCTGTCACTAAGAGTCAATAACAGCAGCAACAAAGACAGGACGTTTGGTGACGTTGAGTGAGCTCTCCTGGTTTAGATTCTGTCAGTGTTCATCGTCTAGGAGGTTCGTAACCACCTTTCCAAAACATACGGATCCACTGATTAAAACCAGTAAGATCCAGACGGGCATCGTCTAAAACCGCACAATTTAAAACCAGCAAGAAAATTTCTGGCAATGAAGTTTGAAACGATTAGATAATTCAATAACCTATGTGACGCACACATAGGTCTTCTGGTTTCTTTGATATTCGAATGCAGGAAAGTTAAAACGCAAAACCTGAAGCTTTCACCGTTCAAAGTAACTACTGGGTAACCAACCTTGACAGACTCTGCACCTGGTGTGATGTCACTGAGTAGGTGAGCGAAGAGGAGTTCGGAGTGGCCGGGGCTTCCCTGGAGGATGCTGGCGGAGGCTCCGGCCGCCTGCACCCACAGCTCTAAGGTCCTGTACACGGAGACCCGCACCGAGCTGAAGGACGAAGAGGACATGCTGGAGGAACAGGGCGCAAGTTGCAAAACATACCCACAATCCTCTACTGACTTACCTGTAGGCTCTCTGCTGTCCCAAACTGGCTTCAGGTGGAGGAGTCCAGGCAGACAGGGTTTGAGAGAACAGCCTCTGTAGAACAGCAGCGTACTGGACCATGCTGCCACGCACACTGCAACACACGCACAGTGTCGGCATCGCAACTGTGACAACATACATACGGAAGTGTGTTTGTGCACATCAGTACTCACGCTGTGATAAGAGCTGATAAGACCTCCAGTGTGTTGGTGTGTATGGCGGGCAAGACGAGCAACCTTACACTTCCATCGCCTGTTAAATTCTGACAGACAAACATGCGCACACACAATATTGTTTACTTGCATGTGCTCAGTCTGGATTTCATTCATGCATTTAGTTCTTCAGCATGTATCAAGACATAAGAGGATCTTGCATCCCCATTGTGCAATACTTAGTGTGTGTGTGTGTGTGTGTGTGTGTGTGTGTGCTCTCACTATGCTCTTGGCGCTGACAGCGAGGACTCGGCACACAAGGTTGAGTATCGGTCGGACAGGCAAACGGACGGGGGATGCTGGATCCACCCTGCAAGGCGATTAAAAGAGACAGCTCAAGCATTGTTTTTGCAGTTTGGGAGAAGTATCTCCTTAAAAGCTGGTTTTGTGTGAGCGTGGGTCTGTGTGGTACCTAAGTGTGTGTTTGAGCGCCAGGCAGATAGCGGTGTATCGGTGCTGGAGCTGCATCAGCAGCAGAGGATCCGACTGGTCGAGGTGAGGAAAAGCCAGCTCCACACCCGGGCCTTCATACTGCACCGCCCCATCTAGGGAGCACAACACACATGTAGAGGAGACATCCACCCGCGGGCTCCGGCGGCTAAACGCTACCAGGAGCCGTGAACCACTTGGTACACTGCGTGTGCGCCATTGTTGGACAAACATTCAGGTTTCACTGTGTGAGCGACAAAGAGCTTTAAGAGACAAACAAAAAGCAAAGGGTTCATTATTCTACTGAAAAGCGACAGTTCACTCTAGAATTAAAAGTGTTTACTTTCCACTCCTATTTAGAGCTATAAATATCCATCTGGATTGTTTTCGAATAGAGGTGCCTGCCTTTGTTTTAGTGCGACGTAACTGTATCACATGGAGTGTATTGCTCAAAGTGCCAAAGAAGTGAATTTGAAAATTTCTCCAGCCACGTGTCTCCCCAGCAATCATGACCTGGTTGCTCAAGAAAACCCATTTACTTTGAGGTGAGCAGTTTGATACAGGAAACATTTTCTTCGTACAGAATTACGTCTGCCAACCCCATCAGTGCCGTAGGAAACACACAACAACTAGAAGTTAATGAACATAAATGGAGTACTAGTTGAGCGTAGCCATTAGTATTAGGTAGCAATAAACTATGAAAACCAAAATTGTTTTGAGGTGCTGTCTAGTCCTTCCTGAGAGAAGGCAGACATATCTACGAGTGACTTCTCCAAAACCAAGTAATCAACCAAAACTATCAAGACTGATAAATTGCATTACAGCTAAGGGGGAGAATTATTTTGAAAGATTCTAGTGTGTACCTGTTTCAGAGCCCTGGTAGAGCTGAGCCAGCATCGCATTGGCTGAGGCCAGCAGGCAGTGAATCTGATTGGTCCAGCCCTCAGCTTTGCCAGCACCCACACCTCTGTCCAGCAGACCCCCCAGAGAGGGCAGGCGGCCATAACACATGCAGGCCATCTGCCAGAAGGACAACGAGGTGGAGTTTAAAAAGAGAAAAAGAAAAAACAGTACAAGTAGAGCTTTTTAAAACGATTTAGTCAAAAACACCAGCTGTGAGAATAAAATACCTCTTGTGTTTTCTTGTTGGTGTTGTCCATTTTGGAGTGGAAATAAGCTCGCAGTTTGTCCTGGCGGGAAAAAAAGGACCTTTTTAGAGTTTTACCCCCGCAGAGTTGCTACATTCAGAAACAATTTTGAGCTGACTTCTTCCTTGTGGCGTCCATCTTTTTTGCGCCTTACCCTGAGGGATCCGCAGGCTCTGGGGTAGAAGGTCATGCAGGCAGTCATCCCCTCCATGGCTGCCAGCTCACACTGACATCACAAGAGGAGCAAAGGTAGCGAATAGCACAGCTGCTTCAACTGATCACTGTCAAATCACTTCTTGACTACTTGATTTATCTCCCACAGGTAAAATATAATGGAAATCTAATGCTGGCAGTGTGTGTGTGTGTGTGTGTGTGTGTGTGTGTGTGTGTGTGTGTGTGTGTACACCGTGCTACTCACGACAGTAGTGACTAGAGCGGGAATCTGTGGAGGTTAAAGGTTTTTGACGACGTTCTGTAGCGGCCTTACCTCGGCCTTGAGGCCCAGCAGAGACGTCAGGATGCCCAGGATGGAGTTGAGGCCAACGTCCCTGGCCAGCTCAGGCAGCTGGGACGAGTACTGCAGCAGGTCCTTCAGAATGTTCACCGCCAGCTGGATGGTCTGCACAGGAGCCTGAGACTGAAAAGCAGAAAAACGGGGAGGCGGTCAGGTTTTTACGGAGAGACACAATTAGGGCGTTTAAAGACGAGGACGAGTGGCGGCGCGCTATAGAAATCATACCTGTATGACCTGCTGCAGGGAGCGCAGCCAGGTGACACAGTGCTGCTGGAAGAGCTCACTGGAGCTGTCCTTAACCAGCATGGAGAGCAGGCAAAGCCCCTCAAACCTGCACACATACAAAGTGATGATGTCTCCAGGGTACCACGAGCAGCACATTTGTGTTATTTCGTAATCACTTTCATAAGGTTTTAAAATGATACTGATATATGGCCCTTGAATGTTCAAAACCATTGAACATTCAAACTTTCCGGTCTTGAATCTAGAAGTCACTATCTAAATCACACTAGATTGTACAGTAAAATATGGCAGATGACATGTGGTAAATTCACTCCTGATAACGGAAAATGCTATTGGATGTGTGTGTGTATGTAGTTTTGAACCAATAAAAACGTTTTTAACATGATCTAATGTGATTTTGCTTAGAAACAGTCTTGTATTTGTTTTCATATAAACTTTTTGATCTTCAACATCCACTGATTAGAGTGGTTTAATCTGACCCTGTACCTAATGCCGGGTCAGATTATTAATCACATTAAGTTATGTTTAGACAAAACTGATATCAAAAGATATTAAAAAAAAATCTGTTGGAGGTTATTTCATCCCTGTAAACCGCAGGTGGAAGTATTATTCCCATTGTAGGTAATTCACCTACACCCATTGGAGCAGTGCCATTTTCCTCGCCATAAGATGTCACTTTACTTTAATGTTTGACGTAGATCATCAATATATTGTAACGTATATGATTTAAATTTTTCTGCCAATATTTCCTAACACTTAAGTGATATTTTTGATGAGCAATCATGAGCCATACAAATGTCCTTGGAGACACACAGTAAGATGCTTTGGTGCTCACACTGAAGCTCTGAAACAGAGCATCAAAAAAATGTGAACGATACAGAGCCCAAAATAGGAATTAAAAAGCTACAATGTCTTCAGAAATGGTCCCTCGGGGAGAAAGAAGGGATGGCAAATCAGTAGACGGTGTTGACCATTTTAAAATAGTCTTTAAAATCTGTTTTTCAGGTCTTCAAAAAGTCCCATACGCCTTGGCGTGAATATGGTTTGTATTTTATGTTGTTTTTGCCGCCCGATAGATACGGTTACTTTACTAATTACGTTAGTTGTATTGCTGGACACAACGAAAAATGTCATTGATAAGATAACGGAATACAAAACCTTTAGAAATGACTCAAATATTATAGACTCATTTTCAGTGTCAATTACTTTTTGCCATGCTCGATTTATCGTGCTTGTCATTTTCTCACCTGGTCTTGCTCGAGCCCAGTTTGGCGTTACCGAAACCCACGAGACCCCCGACGGCCCCCGCGCTCTGCAGAGACAAACACAGGTGATTAAAACGAGCATGCCTCCGCTATTAGATACTAACAGCGAACCGCTGCTGCATTCTCTCCAGATGTGAGCTCAGCGAACAAAAAGCAGAGGCGCGTAGCACGAGACGGCGTCGCATATGCGGCTAACAGGTAACTAGCCACAGAGCTAACGCGCTCCTCTACCTGCGTCTGGAACACGCCATGTTCTCTGTAGTTGGCCAACAGGGCGGGTAGATACTCGAGACGCTGCTCTTTCAGAACCGACACCAAGCCCTCTGTGAGTCGCATAGCAGATGGACCACGCAGCCAAGCCGATGTAGCCATCTTGCCTCGCTACCAAGAGGGACGTCACAAGAGCGCGACGACGTGACGTCGATTTAGAGAGTTCTTTGTTGACGTGCAGCTCCGGCTGCTCAGCCCCCCTCCCGCCGCGGTCCTTTACATGTGGGCAAGTTAAAGAACATTTGCTTCTGTCCTACACCGAGCTGCTCTCTCCGGGACAATAACGCGCGGGATAATACCGCGTGGACTACGGTGGCCCTCGTCGTTGGGGGGCTGCAGCTGGTCGCCGTCGCCGGCTCGTTCATGGCGAATGAGCGGCTAAGAGCGCTGGAGGATGTGGAGAAGGAGATAGCGACGATCCTGCAGTGCGCCGGTGAGGAATCCACACGGCCTTTTTAAAGCTAAAATACAAAGTGTACATCGGGCCTCTATTCAACACGGGGACACGTGTATGAAATGTGTGCGTAACTAATCATGTTGTGGGCATTATTGAAAACGACACGTCTTCAATGAAGCGGACCACGTTGTTGTGCTTGTGTGCAGGTAACATCGTACTGGAGCTGTCCAAAGACAAACACAACGCCAGCCTGCTGGACAGACAGCTGGTCCAGTTCCAGGGCTCCGTCAACCGAGTGGAGAGCGAACTGAGCGGCCAGATCCGGTACCTCACACAGGTCAGAGAGCAAGTGCTAATGGTTCAAACACAAGATGGTGTCGCCTCGATTGAAGACATTAGCTTCAAAGGTGATTTTTTTTGGGGGGAGATTTCACATATTAGTCTTGTCATTTTTCTGCAGGTAGCCACCGGACAGCCTCATGAGGGTTCCACCTATTCTGCTCGGAAGGACTGTCAGATGGCACTGAACAGAGCCGAGTACGCCAAGGTCAAACTGGGAGAACTGGGACGAACCTGTGAAGTTATGCTGGAGCAACAACAGCAGCAGCAGCAGCAGCAGCAGCAGACATGAGAGCAGAGGGGCATTCACTGCAGCATTTCACCCAAATCACTGTATTTGCCACCAGCCCGTAACAATATTTTATTGATCCTTTTCAATTTTTATTAACGTTGCATTTCTGGGTATATGTTTTTGTTTCTTAGGGGATTTCTTCTCTATTCACGTGCATATGTAGACTGTGTTACATTTCTTCAAATACAAAGAAACGGATACCAAACGTTTCAGCATATCAATGCAAACAATATTATTTGTTTGCATTCTTCAGTTGTCTGGAATAAAAAGCAATGTAAAAAAATGCACTGCAAAGTAGTCTTGGACGGTCATTTGAAGTGCTCTGACGAGGTCGTGCAAGCTGCTTCTCCTTTTAAAGGCCTTTTAGACACCTAAAATATCTATTCCAGTGTAGGTGCATAATAAATATATATATATAGGTTGAATTGATGTGATGTATTTACAGTATAGAACAGCGGTTCCCAAACTCAAGAATGCCGCGGCCCACTTTGAAATCTAAAAATCTTTTGCAGCCCACCCAAACCTTTAATCACAACTCTGATCAAAACATAAACTAGGGATGATTAAATGACCTTAAGAATTTAACCGATTAAAAATGTATTAACCGACAATGTATGTTTTGTAAACCATTTTCTCTGGAGGTCATATATATTTACTTTAATACTACAAGAGGGCGCCCCGTTTGGCAGCGCCTTTTGTTGAATAACGACAGGCGGACAAGAGCAGCCGTTTGGAGCGAGAGCCTTATTGTTTTGATAATCTGTTCGTTTAAATTGTTTGTGCTTCATCAATTAATGTTTCACATAACTAATGTGCCGCTAGAATTGTTCAAATAATTCTTTAACTGAGAAATTCATTTCAAACTTTTCAAAATTAAAAACATTTAAATGTATTTATTGTAAATGATCTCTCGCGGCCCACCAGTGGGCCCACACTTTGGGAATCGCTGGTATAGAACATTTCCGCGCTTTAATTTTGCCGTCAGGCGAGGAACTGAAGCCATAGTTAGTCCATCCATGCGCTCTGCAATGCCACAAGACTCCTTACAAAACCAGCCATTCTACGACACAGAACATGACGCTGCTTTGTTAGTTATTTTTTGGATTTGTTGAGTCTGAACGAACGCTTAACACAGTCGCCAATGGAGCCAGCAGAAGACCAACCACTCTGCTCTGATAGACTCATATGACACAAACTGAAATGCGACCGTGGGGAAGTACCTCACACAACCAGACTATCCAATTTTCTCAGTCAGCATATACATCATGTCAATGTGTCTGAAATGAAACAACCACCTTGATGATTGTGTCATAGTTCCAACCCAGGCCAAATGGACAGGAACCGATTTGTTCTTCCCACAAATCTGTTAACAAGGGTCTTTTGTCCCGTAAACCTCAGTGACTTATGCTCAACTGTCCTCATTGTCCTTCCAGCCGGTCTGCACACTTGTATATCTGGTTTTGTTTTCCTGGCTCATTAATTAATGAAGCATCCAGATGTTTACAATTTACTGAACTTTGTATAACATGACAAAAGCTGTTGAAATGACAAAAACCACACCACACTCCATTTTAAGGATTATTTGTTCAATTTATTGAGTAAATCAGTCTTATTGGAGTTGTATCTTTCACTTACAAAGCTCACATTTACATCGTAATGGGAAAAAAGACAAGTAAAAATGTTTCTAATAAATGAAGATTGGCCAAAAAGCATTGAGAAATGAAATGGCACCCTTGTATGACGTAGAAACATGGTGACTTTATAGTGCTAGCACTGATGAGACAATATTGTGTAAAGGGGCCTACAGAAGAATTAGATCCTTTACTTGGTAGAATTACCGAATTCAAAATGTGACCTAAAGGATAACCTAAACATTTCCCCACATTCTAGTCTCTAGGTGACTAATGGGGACAAGATTTTTTTTTAATTGGAACACTATTGAGAGACAAACCTGTCCGATTGTCATTGTGTCCAACAGAGTCTCGTTCTGAAATCTCACATTGCTCCACGTAAGTCATTTTTACACAAACTTGGAAGAATAGGGGCCAGGTAAAAAATGAAGTTACCCGTTAAGTAAGTGGGATCTTCCTAAATAACCATGTTTCGGTAACAGGATCATAGAATATTAGGTAATTCTCTTTCATTTGAGAAATATCTACAAGCATTTTAATGTTGTTGTTTGTGGAGGCAATTTGAGATGCTTTGTACTACTAGGTAGATTAGTGGTGTAATAATGCATCATATCATGTAATTTTATGTACAGTACCAGTCAACGGTTTGGACACACGTTCTCGTTGAATTGAATGAGAATGTGTGTCCAAACCTCTGATTGGCACTGTATAATGTTTAATAAATGTAGTGGAGTAAAAATGGCAGTATTTGCCTCTGAAACGTAGAGGAGTAGAAGTATAAAGTCACAGAAAATGGAAATACTAGTAAATCACAAGTACTGGAGTAAATGTACTTACGTTCCACCACTGATGACATTGCACACCAAAGCCAGAATGAAACAATTCCTGGCTGTCCAACACACTAAAAACCAGTTTTAATCATTTTAGTTCACCCTACAGATATTAGATGAAATACCAAAAATAACTGTAAAAATAAAAGCATTCTTGTTGATTTAACGATACCCTCTAGTTTGATCTACTAGGACAAATCAATAGGAAGCAGTAAAGGTTAGAGGGCCCCCTGAAACATTCAGCTGACCTATCATCAATACAAAAATACAACTTTGATAACTTTGTTTTAACTTGTTAGAATTATAATTCCTGAATCACAGCAGCATGTTTAATACTGATATCAGCAGAACAACGCAAGCAGCAGCCCTTCCTGCAACCACCTCTCACTCAGGCCTCCACTTCTTAAACTCACGGTCGTTGCCCAAGTCAGGCCATCTCCTCCTTTTTATCCGAGTATACCAGCAGTGTGAGGTACAAGTAGAAGCCTACAGAGAATAAATGGATAAATTAAAACGTGGCAAAACTCAGGAGGCCGTCTTCACGACTTCTTCTTCTTCTTCTCGGGTTCTCGAGGGTTGAGGCGTCCTGTGTGTTTCACTCAGACGGGGGACTCCGCTAACAAAAGGGGTCGCCCTCATCCTTTATCCCCGTCAGGCCCAGGCGAGCGAAGTCTTCAAAGACAAAGTCATCGACCTGAGGCGAAGTGCTACGAGAGAAAAGATGTCCCACGATTACTATTAGAGGGACGTCACCCAGCACGCACTTACGTGTACACAGAGGACAGCGTTTGATCATTCAATGGCCTGTGGGGCAAAGTGCAGAATTCACCAGCAACGTCTCATTACACAAATGATGAGCCAGTTACTGAGAACTGAACAAACACCAGAACAATCTAGATGTAATATTAGCAACATATGTGAAAGCAGAAACTGGTGTTTGTGGTTAACTGTTCCACACACACACTTACTTCATCTCAAACTCAATGAGGTTTGTATCCACTGTAGCATCGACCTCTGGAGCAACTAGAAAAACGAATACATTAAGTGATTAAATTCTAACAGAGCAGCACTAATAGCTGTCATGAGGTGTGTGTGTGTGTGTGTGTGTGTGCGTCCTACGGGACTCTGATTGAGAGCTGGACAGGTCTGAAGGTTTGGGATGCATCAGGACAAACGGGAGTTCCACAGCTACATCCCTACACACACAGACACACAAACATGCATGAGAAAAATCTTTGTTAACATCTACCACATTAGAATATTGCTATTTTTTCCTTTTTACTAAAAAGTTGATACTCCTCCGTAAAAAAATGTTTAAAAAGTGTTAGAATATCACTCCACTGACGTGTCCTTACAGTCCGAATGAATGCAGCCGGACCAGAGATGTCCTTTTTCTGATTCCACACAATCGGCCCAGCACGATGCTTACATCCCCCACAAAGCTTAGGAAGGGTCACCTACCCACCACGAGACACCACCAGTTTCACTTTGACTCTGTAGGAAACCAGAATCCCCATCATCTCCTTGTTGGTTCCCTCCTTCACTCTGCAGGACACATGCAAGGAGGTATGAGAAGAACAACGGCTGCAGCCGTGAGCTTTATTGCACGGAAAAGGAGCCTTTTCTGTTGGACACAGGTGTGTGTATCTGGGTGTGTACATGGTGCTAGAGGCCAGGTTGGTGTCTTCATGCTTTAGCTTTCCATCCAGGGCCAGGCCTCTCTTTTCCCTGTTGGTGCCCAGCATGGGGGTCAGAGTGTAGACTTGGCAGGAGGTGGAGCTCGGAGAGACCTGGTCACTGAGGTTGGGGGTTAAAAGGTCAGGGAGAGGGGCACAGAGGAAATGTAAAAGAGTTAAGTCTGTCTATGGCTAGATGCTGAATGCTTGCAATAAAACTAAATGAGTATTTTTGCATGAAAGAACATTACTGCATAGAACATGGCATGTAAAAATCTTCAGTTGCTAAATCATTTAGTGCTATCTGCATACTATTTAAATCAACTATTATTTACATGCTTAATAGATTGCAAAGTGAAAAAGACATCAAATGGATGCCTGTGGAACCCAATTGTCAATGTTGAGAAGTGCCAACATACTTGTGTTGTTTAGATGGCATGGTTGAAATCCTAAATTAATCTACTGGACAAGGAACCAGGGGCCCAAACTTTCAGGGCCACTGTGGCCTTCGCCTACAAAATGCCACTCAAACCGCCTCATAACATCCAGGAATAGAAACATAAGCCTACTGGCAGCTGCAAAGACATACAAAGACTCACAATAACCATCATATGTTGAGAAAACACCAGCAAGACACACCAAACAACTACTAAGAAAAAAAATGATTATAAAAGACTCAAAGTTACTGAAAACAACTTCAACGAGACACAAAGCACATAAAGAGAGAAGAACTCACTCTGCTTCCACCTGGGCCACGGAGCACTTGTACTGAGCAGTGGAGAACAGACAGATGTCGGCGTACTGACGGACTGAGAGGAGGAGAGGAGAGTTATTTTAACCCGCATTCGTCTTCAGTGTCAGAGCAGAGTGGGATCACAGTAGACGCAGATCCAAATAAGCATCACTTGTTGTCTCAGGTGGTGAAAATGTTCATTGACAATAAAGAGTAAGTTTCTCAGGGCGGCGGGATTTACCGGATACCTTCACCCTCTTCACGCTCTTGGTGGAGTTGTTGGTGACGTGGACGTTGACGCTGATGGGCTCACCGTGATAGTACAGCTGGAAAGAAACCGAGACTTAGCGGTGTGTGTGTGTGTGTGTGTGTGTGTGTGTGTGTGTGTGAGAGAGAGATTGTATCAGCCATCAAATAGCACATGCAGGGGTGCGAGTGTGTCACCTCCTTATCCAGCGAGGCCTCTAGGTGCAGAGATCTGTCGGACATCAGGAAGCTGCGGCTGGTCTCCGCCATTGGCTGTGGACCCGGCTTCTCCGGAGCGTACTGAACCTTCCGGATCAGCAGTTGCACAGAGTTCCTGCAGGAACAAAGCACGCGAAAAGGAGAATGTTGCTTCTTAGGGCGCCAAGCTGTATTGGTTGTGGGGACGGTTAGTTTGGTTGAGGTCTCAGGGGTGTGAATGCGTTAAACCTCTGGTGGATCTTCTCCTCCGCGGTCTTAGCACAGAAGGCGCGGAGCTCGTAGTCCACACCGCACGCCTTCCCCGTGTCCTCAGCGCCGGGCTGGAGGGTTACTGAGCAAGGCAGGTTCTGGGGGATCTGACACACGGTCAAACAAGGTGAGACAGTGCTAAACGTATTCTAAAAGAAAGGTTTCTGTAGTCACAATATTGGTTAACTGCAAAACATCCATCGCATGGATTCTTTTTCACTAGGCTCACTGCTAAATCTAAAATTAAATCCAAATCATCCACTAAACCTCCTCCAGCCAAGATAACTTTTTTTTTTTTATTGTATGAAAAGAATAATTTTACAGCTTAATTGGTGGCTTGTAATGCTCATTTAGGCCACAGGAGGTACAACTCATCTTTTTTCAGGTGAATTTTAATTTCTCTATCTGCAATCCCCAAGCGCCCCAATACAACTTCGGCTTGTCGAGTATGATGACTGTAGAGCGCATAGGAGCTGCTGCAGCGTAGTGGGGGGGCAGTGGCTTTAGCGGAGCGTGTGCAGACGCATAACCCCGACAGTACGTGCAGGTTGTGCTGTTTACATGCACGACGATGCTCCTTTTGCTTGACGCACGCTCCCGATCTTGAATCTAGAATCGATTGCTCTTCCTTGGGTTCCCGGATGTTGCGGTTTGAATTTTTTTGCATTGAATTTTTTTGCACTGAATTTTTTGCGGTTGAATTATTTGCGGTTGAATTTTTTGCAGTTGAATATTTTAACGTTGAAAAACATTCAGATACATGATTTCAATGCATAAATATTCAGTGCTAGAAATTCAATCACCTTTTTCTTTCAAAATCTGATGACACAGATTTACTTCAATATTTTTGTCCTCCACAGGACTCGGGGTAGTGGTGCACTTCAGCCTCGTGTGGCCAAAATGTGTATGACGACAACAAACAACCCTTTATTTCCCTGGTTGTTAACAATAAACACCAGAGAGAAAACAATTTAGTTCAGTTGAGATCAGTGCTGAATTTGATAAATCCTTGACTGAAGGATTGCGGCATCAAGTCAGTGCTTGGTGCTCGGATTGAAGTAGATAGGGAGCTCAATGTCAGGATCATGAATTGTTCACAATTGCAGGCACACAGGTACACACTGTGTGCACTTGAGGCCAAAGCGACAGCCTTTGCATCTCCCACGTCATTCAGGTTTGCACCCACATTTTGTCAGTTGTTGACAGCTCTGAGCAGTTGGCAGGAGTGTCGTCCACGCTACTTGCCAAATTTTACCCACACTTGGCAGGGCCTTTCTGTATGCAGTTGTCATACAGTTTCTTTGTCCCAGATGCAGGCAGCTTGGGAAGTAGCAAATAGCATCATAGGACTTCTACTTCTGAGCAAAGAAGTCAAGTCTTCATCAAGCCCATCAGCATGCCATGCACTCCTTTTGCCTTTACCACTAAGGCCGATAAAACATCACAGCCGGTGTGAAAGAAAAGATGTTTCAGGGCCCATATGCACCAATATGTCAAGAACAGGTCACCACTCGATAAGATATAACCAAATCGACCAAATTCAATCCACAATTCTTCTAAGCACACATTCAGGAGTGTCTGAAAATCCCTGACTGCGAGAACAAGTATGCCGGTATCACAGGCCTTGACCAACACAGATTTGATCTGTTGCTCAACTTCATGCAGGAAGATTCTGCTGTCAGCCTCTTGATGTTTGCAAGGACATAAGGACAAGGACATAGGCCATAAAGAAAACATGAATCCACTTTGCTTCTTTCCTGAAGCAAACATGTTCCCCTTTGGTCAGACTCACAACATTCTCTAGACACAATGGCACAATTCTGTTGGCCAGAAACTGACACAGCTCAGTCCTGTTGTCATTATCTCACAGAAAGATGATTGGAGAATCATGTGGTACTTTAGTTTTGTCTGTCACTTTGCGTCTACCTCCTCTGTCTTGTTTTGACCTTGTTTTGATTGAAAAATAGCAGCCACATAGAATTTTTAGCAGCGCCATTGAATTTCCTGTGCCAAAAGAAATACATTTTGATGATTAGCTCAACAAAAGACCTTGGTGTTTCTGAAAGACTAGTACTTAACATTATTCTTGCCATATTTGGTGCTTCTATCACCAAGGAAACATTTCTCGTGGAATATTGACTTAATCTGCTGGACTATTCCCCGTCTTTCTACGTACAACTTCACTTTTCATGGACTCTTTAGCACCAACACAAACAGAAACAATAGCATCTTTGAAAATAGTGTTTTGTTTATCCTCCTTTTCTTGTCATTTCCACAAGTCGCCTGGAGCAGCAGCTCCCGGTGCATTGTGGGTACAACGGCGTGTGCTCTTACAGTGAAGTGAAAGGGGTAGGCATGCTGACCCAGCTTCTTCAGCAGCCGCTCCTGCAGGCGGCTCGGAGGCGTCTTGGTCTCCTGCAGAGGAGGGAAGGCCTGCACCGTGCTGACGTACAGGTCCTTCCGAAAGGAGAGGCCCAGGACGTCCAGGTCCTCCCGGCCGTAACGGAACGCACAGGTCAGAGTCACAAACACTGAGGGGAGACGTCCATTAAAAAGGAGGGTCACTCAGGCGCTCCCTTACTTTGTGTCCATCCTCTGGTTTTCTTACCTTTTCTATCTTTCAGATACTCGTGGTCGACAAGGAGCACTCCGTCTAGAGGACACACACGCACGACACCTCAGCTGTCATGTTGAACCAGACAGATCAAGACATCGCGGGTGTACGTGTCACTCAAGAAATGGAGTTGTGTGTGTATGTGGGAAGAAAATGAGTTGACATGGTGTTTATGATACTTAAGCCCCAATTCAGAGGCGTTTTTTAAACTAAACGCATCTTAGAGGCGCAACAAAATTCCCGCCGTTTGCAGCCTTCAGCGTCTGGTGTCCAATTGAGGTTAGGTGTCACAGCTATTATTATAAACTCTGAATAGAGAAACATAGGTATTTTGAGGCTAAGATACTCACTATGATGCATGTGTGTGGATTTGAACTCACCAACTGGATCTACTTGGTCCAAGTGATCAACAAAGTCTCGCTTCCCCAGATAAACAGTGAGCTGAGGAAAGAAGAGAGAGCAATTAGGATAAAACAGGACAAGATAGAGGGAGAATTATTGATGAAGAAAACACCTTTTGTGCGCGCGCGCACACACGCGCGCACACACACACACACACACACACACGCAAAAACATTTACACACACATATCCTACCTTGCAGTTGGGGCTGGACTTCTTAAAGACTCTGTTAAAAGAGATGGAGAGCATATTTTGTAAACAAAGAGTGTGTACGTGTGTGTGTATGTGAGATGCATTAACCAATTGATATCAGCAGTCTTGGCGAAGCCAAACACATTTGTAGCAGCCCTGAGTTTGCAAATGTCCCCTGAAGTTATTCAAACAGTTGCAGATGTGATTGAGCGGGCGCTGCTTCACGGCCCCTTTGAAAGGACTCCGTGGTCCCATCGCGGTGTGAGCTCAGTAACATTGTGCGGATTATTCAAGAAGGAACCTTTCCATGGGAATTAACAAGAATAAAATAGAAATTCACATTCTGTCAACTCAAGGCTTCAAATCGGCAGACCACAAACCAATGGATGACGTCACGACGGCGCTGTGCACTTTTGACCACAACACATCACAAGCGCTGGTCACATGACCAACAATAGTCTATGTCCATGTTGCCTTTCAAAGTAATCATTTAGGCCTGGTTAGTGTCCTGGATTCACAACAACAAGCTGTTAGTGTTGGATCTCATTACACTCCAATACACACTGATGCCACTGTATATTCACATCACATTTCCTGTCCTTCACACACACACACACACACACACACACACACACACACACACACACACACACACACACACACACACACACTTGCGTAAACAAAAAGAGAGCAGCTAGAGAGCAGCAGCCACGGCTCACTGTACAATGAACTGAAGGACAGAACGTCCCAAAAAACGACAATTATGTGCTGAAAACTGATCCTCGGTGGCACTTCCTCTCAGCAGCCTCTATATGTGGAGAAGGATAAAGCGGATACAACTGCAGCATGGCGTTTGTGGCCCGATTAGATTACAGTACAGGCCACGGATCTTTCGGATCCGGAGGGAGGAATCAATCATCGCGATGGAAAAATCACAATATCACTTAACGAGAAACAATGGCGGAAAACCTTTTTAGAGGAACACACTCCAGGAACAATTGAGGACGCATTTTAAGGAAGTCCACTCCACCCTCTGATATCAACAAATAGAAATATTGTTTTTACAGGACCTTTAGAAGGCATTTCAACAGGCTTTAACTTAACACAATAAATCGTTCCAAACGTTTTCACTTTGCACAATTTGTCTGAATCATTTTCTGAAGACATTGAAGTGTCTCGGTTCTTATTGGATCAAAGCTTCCTGTTTAACAGTTTAATCAAAGTTGTGCATTGCGATTGGCAGACCTCATTGGCATAAAGTTGAGGTTTATTAGACTGATTATGCAAATTCAGATACGGCGAATGGTCGGGCAACCTCGGCGAGCCACATCTCGTGGCCGGGATCTGTCGCTCTCTGCATAGAGAATGAAAAGCATCTGCTGACTTCTGATAGGTCAACGGGATCAGTGGATCTCCACCTGGAGCTTCCTGACCCGGCCTGCAGGTTTTGCTTCATAAAACAAAGCAAACATTAAAAAAAATGAACAAGCTGTAAATACATTTGAGTCTCATTGGGCTAATTATGATACGCTTTGATGCTGGTTTTACTCAATCTGAGCTTGTGGGAGTAACAGAGGATGTCAAATTGGTAGTTGGTCACTCCCATCACAGCCTCACGTCGTAGTTTAGGGGTTGAATATATGCAAACTGTGCAGACGTAGCTCTGCAGAGTGGAAGAGATTTCCAGCAGTCGAAGCCGGTGAAAAGCAAAGCCAAGAGAAACAAGCCGTGTCTGTGCCGGAGCTCAACAGGAAGAGGGTGAAGGGTAGTGAAGGAAAGTGTACGCTGGTAATGCGTATGCCAGTAATTAATTTATGCCTATGAATTGTTGCGACAGATCAGCCAATCAGTCCATGTGCACGACCACAAAAAGCACAAAACTGTTGCTTTGTCATTTACGCTGTTGCACAAGACGTTTGTTACTGGCTCACGATCAAAGCTGTCGTTAAGTCCATTTGGGAAGCCATGTCAGCGTGAAGTTTATGCAAACTGCAGCAGTTTGAAGAACATTAGTCGGAATGTGCTGGCGTTCACATACTGAAGACATACAACGGGTGCAAGGAGCAAAATCCACATCCTGATCATCAACAGAAATGTCCATCACTTCCTCAACAGAGAACACGTGAACCCCTTCCTGTCAACCGCTTATCCAAGGGGAAAAAAAACACACGCAATCATCATAAAACTCAACTCAGTCGGCCATGAGGTCAGTACTGAGGACAGAATCTAACGCACAAGATGTCCACACTCACAAAAGTAACCTCTACCAATGTCTCCAGTCTCAAAGAGAATTCCATGAAAACATGTCACAAATCAAGTCTCGCCAGATTTGACAGATTATTAATTATCAAACTGTGTTTGTCCTTCAAATTCAAGTCGATATATTTTGGCCCCAAATCACAAATTGGCATCAGGGGGCTTTAGCATCTGCACACACGAGACCCACCCAGGAAAAATAAATCATCTAAATTAGATTAGAAGCTAACATGAAGCTTCAGTAGTTTGGTTTTCGGAGAAACACCTTTAATCTCAAATTATTTGATATTATTTAAATTGTAAATCATATCAAGACTCTTATGACAAACAACCAGTGTCAGATTACACTAACTGCGCAGAGCAGGACGCACGTTTAAGGGGGGGAACGACGGAAACGCGCCGTGACGCCGGACGTTCATTTCTGCCTCTGGCGGCCCCTGGTGGTACTTTACACTAAAAAACCGTAAAAAAACCTGTCAAATTCTGCTTCTTCTGCACCTTCTGGCATCGCCATGTCTCCCTCGTTTATTTTCATAATTGAGACCTCTGCATCGACAGTGTGCGTCTTCCTCAGACAGTCTGGAGACAACCGACCTCCCGTCGGGGTTCGACTCCTCCGATGTGCCAATAATGACACATAATAGCAGAGTAGCCACATTTTAGCCAATTCTGGATGCTACCAGTGAGCTAACGCGATGCCAAGTCCACCTGCACCTCGTAAAAGCGTGCGAACGGCAAACAAATAGCGTCGTCACACACCTGTCCGGTTTAACAAAGTTTGACATCTTTGTTGTGTCTTGTAGCCTCCTGTCAGCCATATGCGAGCCAACACGTCGTCTTCGTAAAAGTGTAATCGATTATTAGCCCGGTAGAAGGCAACAGCTGTGGCTGCAGTCTTTCCCCCCCGATACGGTTCCTTTTCTCCCAAAAGGAAGTTGCGCCAGACCCCTTAAAAAATGCCATTTAATGGCACATTTGACGCTGCCTGTGCTGCGAGTCCAACGGAGGCGCTGCGCGCTGCAACGCGGCTTGGACACGACTTCCAACTTCTTCGTATTTTGGACATTCAATCTTCAATTCGGCCTTACAACCGATCGATATTCATCGACGAATAGCTTTTAAAAATCCAAGTCCTCCGAAATGCAGAGAGTTGCAGAGTCACGTGAGCCAGGTCCGTTTTTTAAAAAAAAGGATGCAGTTCCCTTTCGTCCTCCCGAGTAGCTTCGTCTTCCCCGCATCGTGACTGAACCCCACGGTGGTCTTACCTGGTCCCGGCTCTGTCCCCCATGTCCGCCGCGCTGAGTGGACGGTGGGTGTGATAAGCGCTGGTCTGAGGTCTGTCTGCTCCCGTTTGTCCGCTGCTGCTGCGGACAGATTTTTGGACAAATTCAGCCCGTTTCCGTAGTTGGTGTATAAACCACGCCCACCTGCAGCGTGACGGACACCTCGCAGTCCCCCGATGGACTTCTACTCACCTGCTGTCGGGCTAATAATAGTAATAGTAACGGCAGTGATCAACAGTGTTGATGTTCCACATCGATTCATTGATGAGGTCGGCTCTTGTGTTTGAGTCCGTTACTGAAGTGCCATCATCACGACGCCAAACCACAATAGAGCTCCATTTAAAGTCCTTCTCGAATAGACTCACAGAGGTGTTGTCATCAGTGCGTGTGAGTGAATGAAACGTGTAAAACTGCCTTGAGATTGAGATCGTCTTATCTGTCTCTCTGTCCATTGTCCAACTGTCTGCTGCTGCACTAACCGCCAAGTCAAATTCCTTGTATGTCTGACATATTTTGGTAATAATATTTTTATATTATATATTTTATTTTTATCTGAAAAGTAGTAACTATAGCCCAAAAAAGTGGAGTTAAAATACCCAATACTATCTCCCTTTCAAGTGTAGTGCAATATATTTAGCAGTAGCAGAAAAATATCATAAATAGCATAAAGTAAAAACACTTCAGGGTTGTATTAACTTAATCTCTGACTTAGTCTCAAATGACATACGTTCCTTTCAACCACTGACTAACAGCGGAGCAGACTGCAGTTCTGTCAACAACTGAATTCAAAGCCCCCCTCCAGTTCTTTCTCTGCCCCCACAGCACAACTTTAAACCGTGCATTCATCTATTCCGCTTTCACATATTTAATACATGTTATACATGTATTTTTCATTGAGATGGGTTGAATAGTCTTTGGGGATGGAAAATACAGAAGGTGTCATTTAGCAACCTTTTACTAATTAGATAAACTGTTATTTTTAAAAAGTAATATTTGAAAGATTAAAAAAAGCCACGTTAATGCTTTATTAGTCCCACAGCGGGGGAATTTACAGGATACGAGAAACAGGATCACATAATTATTATAAATACGCATTAATAACAAATAAAAAACAAGAAGGCTTCATGAGAAGCGCCAACTCTGAGCTTATGCTGTATGCTATTATTTCATATATCTGAGAGGAAGAGATCTTCAATTGCAGGACATGATTGAAACGTCATCCTTATGTTAAAAGTAGTGCTTCTGGCGTCCCCCCTTTACATTTTCGGCCTGAGCAACCCAGAGGACCTTATTTTGAAAGGCCTGGCAGGAAGTGTGACCGCGTGGGAGTGTCGCCGTAGTGAACGCCTTGTATGCGGCGTTCCGGACGGTGCTTAACTGCAGGCCACACGCGAACCGAGCGCCGACAGCCCCGTTAGTTTTATCCGCCCCGCTATCACTCCGTACCGGCTGTTCGCGTGCGTGGAGACCGGAGCCATGACCCGCCGCTGCCTGTGGTCGCTGTGCCTGCTGCTGGCGCTGCTGCTGCCGCCCGGAGGTAAGGCTTTGTCCCGCGCACCTCCGCGGCTCCACATGTTCGCCTTTTGTGCCGCCCTTTAAATAGAGGCCGACTAACGGTCCACCGGCCCGGAGGCAGACACCCACTACGTGCCCGTTCACATTAGTACCCCTTTGTTATTTATAATACAACCATGAAGGATACAACAATGTATATTGTGTGATATTAAATTAGTTAATTTGGGACGCATTTGCTCCAGGCATAACTGATGCTTGTAGCCAAAAGTGATTGGTTTAGTAACTACACATTATTACATTAAGTTGAATTATTCTATAGAATTTTTCCGTACATCCAGATATTTCCTTTATTTATATGAAATGTGAAATGAGTTATCGTAGGTCAGACTGGCACCACCCACCATATCTTGTCTGTCTGGATTACAGCGGCACGTGCCACAGTTACGATGATGACTCTCGATGATGATTAATATGAAAAGTTAGACACCTAAAAAGATAAATAATTTAAAAGCAGATGATTGTATGCGGCATTAAGAAGAAGCACCTGTCCTGACCCCTCCTCCCTGGTCTCCAGGGTTACAGCACAACACAGCCAGGTTTCTTGCATTTCATCTTACGGTGTAATTTACCCTGTACATTTTAAATATGAATGTGTAAACCAACTAGAAAAAAATCATTTATAACACCAGTTGTAGGCAAGTGACTGCAATGCTCTAACGCTCATCATGCAAATGAGATGCAAATGAGGGGAATTCATTTTGGCTCAGTGAGGGCGAGGAGGGAATTCAGTCTCTGCTCATGCTGGGGGGGTTTATTCCCTGATTTCTGGACTCTTGTTAACCGTTATTATAGAGCGTACATCCAACAGCAGCGTTGCCTTTCCCCCGTGTAGACTAAGGATACCTCCCTTGGAGCTCATTTCCTCCCCATAACCTTGTGACCAAACTGACAATCCTGTATCACTGGGGGGTTACGGCAGTGTCGATACCTTCGCCGCTGGACCGTAGGCGGGCGAGGCTGCTTGGAGGACGAATGAGACCACTGCTCAGGTTTCCTATTGGGAATATGTCTATGTGGTGGAGTTCAACATAGACGTAGGTGTGTGTTTGCTTATTAGTGGAAAACAGGCCTGTTTGTTATTTACCCATGAAAACCGACTCCGAGTACAGTGAGCTAAGCTAACATGCCAGGCAGGCATCCTGGATGCAAGGATTTAGTACGGTTTTGTTCATAGAACAACGTTTCACTTGGAAATTGATGGAGATGAGGTCATTCAGACCATAATCCAATGTACACACAATGGCCAGCAGGTCACGTGTAGAATTAGCCTCACAGAAGGCCCCCTCGCCCCCAAATTCTATGATTATTATAAGGAAATGCACCAATAACCACAAAGAAATAGCCATCAAGTTCAGCCAAGCTGAGTGTCCCAAGTGTTAAAACACTTGGGATCTATGGGAATTGAAAATATTATAAGATATTATATATTTTATAATATTATTCTAAAATTATATATATTATAAAAATATAATACAGTGAATATCAAAAAAGAAGAAAAGAAAAGAAAAATATTTCATTCAAAAAAAATATAGAGCTGAGTCAAAACTATATTCATCTCGAAAATATTTTTCGGCCACTTATTTTTATATTTTGAATACATTGTTGTATTTTTCAATGTGCAACAACAAAACTTTCAGGTTCACATTTGTTTTTCAAATGAACAAAACCTTTGACCTGGAGTTGGCTCCATAGGTGGCCTATAGTTCCTAATTCTACCAGACCTCCCATTTTAGCTGGTTGCCTTGGTTGTATCTCTTCCTAACGTTTCCTGACAATCCCTATATCAATAAGTAGAGCAGCTTAGTTGTACTCAAGTTATAACATAAAAACAAAATAGATTCCCTCCGACAAGACAAGACAAGATCGGATTCAAAGAAGTCAAAAAGAATAAAGCAAAATGAAGAAGCAACCACAGCAAAAACCAAGATTTTTATGTAGTGTTCAGGAAATCAGTTGTATCGTTGTTGATTAATACGGAACAATCTAAAATGAATTAACTTAAACAGGCCTTTAAAATGTAAAATTTTCCAACTTTCCAAAAAGGTATAAAACTAAACCGATCCTGACAACGATAGATGTACAAGTACACACACACATACACCCACACACACACACACACACAAACACAATGTGTTTGTGAGTGGCAGTCAATGAGGTTGGCTTCTGTTTGTTTCTGTCCCATCACATAAATGATCTGTTTTGCTGCTCAGACAACAAACAGAGCAGATTAGTGCACAGGGGGCCCAGTTTGGCACCAGCTCTGCGGTTTTGTATCTGTGTGCCACAGTTACAGTAGCAGGGCCCTGGAAAAATGATCCATGACATTCCCTTACCTCCACAAAAAGTGAAAACAAAAGAGACCTGTTTGAACGCCTTTTGGTTGGATGTGTGAGATTAAGTGTAACGTGTCTCTTCTGTCCTCTCCGGACTGTAGTTCTGTCTCAGGGCTTTGACCTGGCCGACGCTCTGGATGAGGTTAATCCAAGTAAGTACAACAGAACACCATTTGTCTTTTATCTCCTCCATGGCCATGCACCTCCTAACATCTCCTAACTACATGCAGCATCTTAGAAATACTAGATCTGTATCGCCAAATCAGCCATAGAATACTGCAGAAGATCTGTTCTAAATGTACAATCAAATATCTAAACATCTTTTGATTGAGGTTAAAGTAATGACTATATAATCTTAACCTACAGCGACCCCTACCCCAAAGCCAGCAGCACCAGGTGGAGGAAAAGGCGGAGGTAAGGCCCACACATATCACTTCATTCTATGATAATTCTAAATATAATAAAATGAGGTTGTCCGAAATGTTACATTTGACATACAACACACGCCTTACTTTTGTTTTTCCAACCCCAACTCTGAGCATTCTCATCCAGCTGTGTGGAATCATTTACAGTGCACTGAAATCAGTGGTTCGACACATTTGTGCTGTCCGTGTCCTGTGCAGGATTTAATCTGGAGGACTCCCTTGACCTCACCACCAAAGCCCCGTCCAAGGTCACACCAAAAGCCCCCGTGACTACCCCAGTGAAGCCTAAACCCAAACCAGGTAAGAGAGAGCGCCGGCCTCCGTGTTTCCTTCTGAGGCCACGTCTCCACTCCAGAGAGCGCCGGTTTACAAAAAGCAACAATATTTCAGGATCATATATAATCTGTCATTGCTTTAGTTAGCTGTAAATACAACTGTGATTGTGTTAACCTGTAGCCTTGATCCACCTTTATACCAGTGCTGTTCGCACTGTTTCCACTGTGTGGAAAGTACTGCCATCTGAGGGTGAGCTCGTGGATTGCAACCAATGGAATAAACCAGACTCCGATCTGTGCTACTGTAGATACATGGTTGTGCATCACAAATAGGACCTGCTCTCTATGTAGATTTGAAGGGCCCATTCTAAATAAACTAAGACACAACAATTCTGTTGAGGTGATTACACATGACGAAATGAAGAATTAGTTATGAATATTGTATTTCACTTAAAGCAGTGACAATAAATCTGCACAAATCCTTCACACTTGTCCTTTAACATAGAAACGGATAGTGGGCTTTTATTGTGAAAAAAAGAGCTGGGAGTCATTGGAACAGTGACGTAGAAAAGTAGAAATGTTATTTGTAGCACAATAGAACCAATACACGCATGCATCACTAATTATATTTGTATTGAACTATCCACGGTATCGGCTCAACACATTATGTCAGCTAATTCACACCTGTAAAGATCGACGACACGGATCCATTGTAGAAAAACAAAGCCAGAACATTCCAGACATGGCCGCTGACGTCCTGTACTTTTGACATAATTTCAGCGAGAGACGAGGTCCCGCCTTTACTCCACCTGACCAAATCACAAGCCAACCGCGGCCACAACTCCTTAACGTGAGAGCCACCTAGCTGCTACTTTAGCACCACTGTAACCGTTTGGCTAGAAAGACACAACTAACAACAACATCTCTATAAGTGCACATATGAGGAGTGTAACGCATGCGCTATCACACATACTCATGTTTTGCAAATGTTAGCAGCAGATCTGCTTGGATATAACTGACATTTTGCTAAGCTAGTTAGCAACACGGTCAGACTGTAGATATATTTGCATACAGATGGATTCAGACTCAGAGTCAGATCTTTAGCTTTACCTTCGGCCAAGACTCATTGGCCGAGGCAACTGTCAATCATGATGTCACACTAACTAATTCAAATCAGGAATCAGGAATCAGGAAACATTTATTGGCCAAAATATGTCAAACATACAAGGAATTTGTCTTGGCGGTTAGTGCGCGACAGTAGACAGACAAGACAACAGTGCACAGGTAATAAAATAAAGTGGAATGAAATGCTAATGCAATGGGTTAGTAAGAATAAGGCTAAGGCTATGGGTTAGTAAAAAAAACAAGGGAATAAAGTTAAACAAATTATAAATATTAAAAAGTTAAAAAGAAAAGCCAAGCTTGTAGAAAGACTTGCACGTGCCTCCATATCTGCAAACTTGTTTCTTCTTGGCAAAATTCCCCGTTTTCTTTGATGTGACTTGTCGAGTCTTTTGCTTTTGATTAGAGCAGTCAAAAGGCCGTGGTTATAAAAGCTTGCGGGTTCATCACACGACGTGGATGTGATGTGGTGGCCAAATAATTTTTGTCGCAATGTGAAGAAAATCAAGCTGCACCCAGCCTCGTTTGTATGTTAGATTATTCTACATCGGCTCACTTTTTGGATTACAGTCAATCCGGCCTTTAAGCGGCCTTCACCCATTATTACTATGCATTTATAGTTCAAGTGTAATTTAATTCTAGTGTAAGCGTGCATGTTTATATTTTAATACTTAGCGGGGTTAATGACCTGCATGGCAATCCAGATATTTTGGCTTCTATGGCTATTATGTCTTCCCTTTCTATATTCAGTGTATTTGTGTATAACTTCTTCACCTGGAGAGGCTCGCAGGTCTTTTAATTTCACTCATTATGTCACAGTCTTAATGCGACTTAAGACTTCTGCTCTCCCCTTTACAAAAACATTGACCACCGACCTTTTGACCTCAACAGCTGCGGATGACTTTGACCTGAGTGATGCCCTGGACTCCAACAATGACATTGGTATCAAGGATAAGAACAAGGGGCAGGGAGGTGGGTGGGAGTTTCTCCCGTAGGACTAGCATTTGTTAAAAAACACACAAAATAACAATCATCATTTTAAAGGGAATTAAAGCCACTATGTGTAGAACAAAAACCTGACATGACATCACAGATAAGATAAAAACAGATAATGATCCGACATTCCAATCACGTACAAGTTGTAGACATAGCGGCTTTAAATGACAGGAAGTCATCCTCTGCAGTATATTTAAAACTGGGCATTTTAAGTTCATATCCTCGGGATCAGATCGCCCTTAATAAATATACTGCGGTCCAAAGCTATCCACTCCCCCGCGTCTCCATCCACATTCCCATTTCTCCGAGTACTGCAGTATTGTACAGACTCCCCTCGCCCCCAAAAAAAGAATTAGAACTTTAGAAAGTTTTTGTGGATCCACTATGAGCACAATTGAAGCCACAGTGTGCTTGTAGAAGGACTCAACATGTCAGGAGAGCTCATTGTCTTCAGCCCCCCCCACCCCCTCCCTGCTGATAAAGCTTGCATGCTGTTTCCACACTGTCTAACTGCTCCAGTCCATCACCATACGATTTTAAAATCCTTTCATATATTTCATTCTCCATTTGTATTTTTTCTGTATTTCCTCAAATCCTGTGTGTAGATTCTACAAATGAAAGGAATGATTGTTATTACTGATTAGATGTACTCTCATGTATAATTTCACAATGAAGACTGCTCGTCATCAACCTTAAAATATATTGTCATGCATGATAAATACTCCACTACCTACATTTGACTGTGTATATTAAGACCAATGTGACACTAAAAACTAAAAACAAATGAATCTATTGGATTATGTAGAACCATGATTGGCCTCAGAAATCATATTGGCCGGGTTATATTGAGCAGGAAGCATGTCGCGAGCAAATCCCTTTTTACTTTAAAGGTACAGGAAACATTATTTACAAACCGTAATGTTAAAAATGTGCTGTCCACATGCACTATGGGGATGGAAGTTCAGATGGAGCATATGGATGTTTCAGTCAGAAACTGTATGCAAAAGGGAAAGTTGTTCCCTCATTACAGTTTGAAGAGAATAAATTACATTTTCAATTTCAATTTCGAAACAGTCAAATTGAAATTGATATCAGCCGTTGCTCACCAGGAGCCATCAGTGTAAACGTGGCTCTCTTTCTTCCTCGTCCTGCTCATCATCTGCTCGATCATTTGCGGTGACAAGTTCACGCTGGATTCTGATAGGGGCAGATGTCAAAGCAGACTTCTGTCTCAACAAACAGGGCAGCTGGTCCCCCTCATGGGCTTTAGTTTACTGTACCTTTATGGATCGCCGTTTAACCTGCAGTTTATCATTTCGAGATGCCGTTCTTCTTCTTCACTGATTATCTGGCCTCTTTCAGGTGGATTTTCTGACAACGATTTGTTTGATGTCAGCAAAGACGAAACCTACCATCCTGACAAAGGCAAAGGTAATTCTGCACCTCTTCAGAAACCTGCGGTAAAGCCCAGGTAGAACCTGGTGGCTGAGGGAATGTAAAACTGCCGCACTCTGTTTCAACAGGGGGACGTCCCAGTGGTAGCAAAGATCAGTTGGACCAGTACGACGAAAACTCTGGTGGGCTTCATTTCCTCTCTAGTGATTGTTCATAAATACCCGTCCGTCTCTCTGGCTACAGGACTTCACTATAAATAGAATATAATATATACTTATATATCATTTGTGTGTTTACAGATACCACTGCAGAAGTGGGCACCATTGCGGGGATCGCTAGTGCGGTTGCTATGGCGCTGGTGGGCGCTGTCAGCAGCTACATTTCCTACCAGAAGAAGAAGCTGTGCTTTGGTCTCCAGCGTAAGGCTTTTAGATGTATTTATTACACACAAAATTAAGCCACACTAGGGCACAAATATCTGCATTGTGTCTCTCCAACTAGAAGTAGATCTGTCACTAAGATTGTTGGCAGGTTCCACGTACCTTTAAACTTCTTCTTTAGTTGGCCCAGTTCATCAAATCAATGCTAAACGAACGGGTCCTCAGTTCTACTGAGCTATTTGGCCTCTTTTAGCTCATTGTTTCAGGATATGTGGGACAACACGTACAAAGCAGAAAGAGATGTTATTCCTGACATGCTCAATGTGGAAACAAACCGCTTAGTTGATGACGGTTTCCATAGTGATAGGCCACTACTCTTCTCGAATGAAGCAAGCATTTATTTATTTATTTTTACGCTCTACACTTTATTTTATTTCATTGTACAGAGTAACCTGTTAAACTGTACACATGACAATAAATATCTTGAAACTGGTGCCAACATATTTAATAAATCACTAGTTTGAAACTGGCTCGTTGTCGTTGCAACCCAACCAGGGAGATCTACTCATTAGTAGTACTACAGAAGAGATGTCAGCTTTGTTAATAGAGGTAGAGCCGCTAGCAGCAGTGGTGGCACACGTCTGTTGATGCTCATTGAATGTTGCTATGTTACAGAGAGCCTGAATGCTGACATGGTGAAGACTGAGAACCCCGAAGCCGTGGTTGCTACAGAACCACAAGGTAAGCATGTGTCTACTGCACCTTCTTGTTCTCTACGGTGGAACACGAGCAATCGAACGCAGACCCGCCGGGTGGCTCCGACAGAAAGCAGCATCTCTGACCATTTCCTTCCTTTTCATGATAAATTCCTTGTATGTTAGACATATTTTGGTTATAAATGTTTCCTGATTCCTGATAAGAAAATTTTCATATTAGCTTCCAGAAAGGATCTGTGGATGAACGACTGTCTGTTGTTTCTTTTGTCTTTCCAGTCCAACAGACTCTCCTGGAGCCCCCCAATGCTGAACCCCGTACTGAGGAGAATGCTGTGTAACACACTCACATGCGTCTCACACACACACACACACACACACACACACACACACACACACACACACACACACACACACACACACACACACACACACACACACACACACACACACACACACACACACACACACACGCGCGCGCGCTACAGGATGTTGAGTAGCATGTCCTGATTGATACTAGAGCTCCGTTCTGTACACTTTGGGATTTTAAGTCCATTTGAATGAATGTGAAGTTATAAACATGGCTCACAGTGTATCCAACCTTGCCAAATGTACGTGTAAATAGTTACTTATTGTTTTCTGTTCAAAGCACCACTGCAAATATTGGTTTGCAGTAATCCATTCTTCAGCTTGTGTTCAGATGACTTTGAACTCCAGTGAAGTTGGAATACTGGAAAAGAAGATACAAAAAGTTGTTGGTCTAAAGCTTCTCCGGGTGTGTGTCGAGCGTCTCTGGCTTCACAGGGAGTCAGTTACTTTATTGATTGATTTGATTGAATTTAGAATGATCTGTGATTCGCAGCGTGATTGAAGCTGAATGTCATGTGAACCAGGGGGCGTTGGGAGACACGCCCAGTCTTCTTTCCTTTTTTTTAATGAATGAAAGTTCAGCAATATTTAATTTTCTTACTTGGAATGGAAATCAGCCGTTTCTCCCTTATTTTACAAATAACTGATTACTTGTCGTAGGTCATCGATGTTACTTTTATTGACGGAAGTTAGAGCTAAGCAAGCTAATCATGTATTTATGAAATGTGGTGATAAAATGTGTCAGAACCACAGTTAGTGTTACTAGAAATAAGACACACTCAATTAAGGGGAACGCTTGTACGCATAGAACTCAGGTTACATACCATAACTAAACATCTAGTCTGTTCGCCTGTTCCCATAAGTAACGTAAATTGCGGACATTTGTCCTGTGATTCAGATCCATACTTTCGTAGCCAAGGATAAATCCTTCCACCAAATGTAATGAAAATCCGCCCAGTAGTTTTTCTGTGGTCCCCCTGACAAACTTTTTTAGAGGTAATCATTATTCTTTTTTTATTATTATAAGTTTCAGTGTATAATCATGGTGAGTTTGAAATCTGTGATAATGATGATAATGCTATAAATAATTATTTGAGTTTTTTTATTTTTTGACCCACTTGGACCATGTATGCTGCCCTTAAATGGGCTCCGTTGGTTCCATTGGTGTACATCCTGCTGGTAGCTATTGGTCACATCAAAGGACAGTTATGTCATTAATTGGTACATGTTGCTTCATGCACACCCTTTGTCTATGTTGTACAAAGTTGCCTTATTCAGAAATTGATCTTTTTGCAGCGGGAAAAGAATAAGGCATCCAAACTTTTCTGTCTACTTACAACCTGTGACTTTTTATAGTGTAAATATTTAATTTAAATGATGATGCTTATGAAGGGAGCATGGCTTGGTTTTTGAAAGGGAGGATGTTGAGATAGTTTGCATCGAGAGTAGCCCAAAGTCAAGAAATTAATAAATAATTTAAATTGAAAAGAATTTTAACAACTCACCAAACTGGTAGCATGTAGCATAACAACAATGCTAACTAAACCAGTTCCACTGCAGTTGGTGTTCAAAAAGGCACATCGTGCACCTCTCTGCAGGCATGAAAATCCCTCACCTTTCGGCGAAATTTGCCGTTTTGAAACCAAAAGGTGACAAATAGGTGACCTACGTGAATCGTGTAGATTCGATGAGGTTTTTTTGGGGGGGGGGTGGTAAAATGATTAGCTAACGCTACCGCTACCCTCTGTCTGTTTGTTTGAACGAGATGTTTTTAGGCGGCAAACTTTTTGAAAGAGAGAAAACTTCAACACTACTCCGGAAAAAGCAGGCTGTGGTGAAGCAGATAAATGTGTGAAATGTGACTTTGCTACGTTCAGAATATTGTGTGTACTGTGTTTTATTGTGTTAGCACTGAAGTGTCAATGTTTGCAGAAGAGGTGTGAAATGTGTCTTCCCACAGTGGCCATTTTAGATCAACATCAGTGTGATAAGGGAAAATAACGGTATGCTAAGATGTATGAAAGTAGCACTACGCAAAATACAAAACAGATTTTTGATATTGTAGCCGGGCCATTAATTGCGTACAACAATTTAAAGCAATCCTTGTGAGGTTCCCTGTTAACATTCATGATAAATGCATTCCCTTCCATGTAAAAAATAAGATAGCTAAGTCACACATAGCTGCCTTTCTTCTGACTACCAAACGTCGTTTAATAAGAGCATAATCTGCATGTAAAATACATTATCACTATGGGGTCACGCTCCAGTAAGAAACTGTGTATCTCTTAATACATTAACTCATAAATAATGCAATAATTGGTAAGAATGATTATCGCTGAACCATTTAAACTAAAGCGTATTGGAGCATTTGCATCGGCGCATTGACTTTGACGCGTTTTTGAGGACAAAGTGGCCACAATGGAACAATATTTTTAACAGTGAAAAATTGAGTTAATTGTTAAAGATGATGTCTGAAGGAGATTTTGAACCAGTTACTAGAAAAAGATACAAATCTAGTGTTCTTTAGCCATGTAGATGAAGTTAGCACCAGTAGTTAGCTTTAGGAGCTTGAATAGTGTCGTGACGAGTGCTTTTGGAAGGTTGTGATGGTTCAACATATTACTGTGAGCTTTTCTGTGTTTGTATTATTAGCAGCGTGTTTTACGTTGCATATTATACCCTTTAGTGTGGGTTCACACTCTGCCTTGCTCTTTTTACTCTTTGTACCCAACTTTCCTAATAACGTAGCTTAACTTTTTGTAGATAGTTTTACTGCCTACTGCTTATCTCAAATCATTCACCGTTTTTCTCTACGGTCTGATAATGCTTGCACAGCACTGCTCAGAACCTCTGCTGACAATTACCGAGCCTTGTGTGAGCCATGTGCTTAAATTATCCCACAATGTGACACGTGCCTCACTTCCACCGCGTGGTTCGGCTCCATCAGAACGCTCAGGCGCGTAGTGGATGCACTGTCAGCGCAGTCCTGCGGTGGTAAAAATTTAAAAAAAGTTGAGTAACTTTCAGAAATTGCAGTTGCCATTGAGGACATTGATGCAAATTGTCCAGTGACGATTCTCCCCAACCAATGGGGGGTTTGCATTGTCTCAACCCATGCCTGTTTGTATTGGCTAAGGTCACATGGAACCTCGAACCGAGGTGGTACCAAAAGAAAGGTGGCATGGACCGTCCCCAAACCAGAACAGAGCGGGCTGAGTCGAGTGTGGACTGCGCGGCACTGTGCAGTGGAAGTGTGCCAACGGTCAACAATGGCGCGGTCACCTCCCCAGGGATGGAGGAAGGATCCACATCTGGCTGGAACTATCTTACTTTTCCAAGTGGGATTCTTCTGATAACTGTTTCCCAGTCACAATTCTGTTTGGTCTTTACAATCTCCACATCTTTAAAAAACATCAGACTATTTCTACAGGTGTTGATCATAAAGAGGCTGGTGGAAGCCCCCGTGGCATCAGCAGGGCTCTGAGTAGCGTCTGTCATCTGAGCTGTGAGTAGCGTTGGCTGTGCCTGTGGTCGTGCATGGATGCCCTGTCAGCTGTAGTACAAATAGTGCTCCTCTCTGCCTTACACCCTGTACGTCTCCCACAGTGCCTTTATGCATTGGGACTAAATGAGAATAATGTTTTGGAATAAACGTGAAGGAAAAGGATTGAATGGAATGTCCTTAAGATTGAATGTGTTTGCTATTCCGATGAGCATTTCATGGATTACAGTACGTCTTATAAATAACGTGTAAGGACTAGTATACTGCACAAACACACTGCACCTATGACTCCGTGATTATGTTTATTATTATCACGTGGCTGTTGATGATGCTTTAAGATTCAGTGTGGACATTATTGTCTCCAGACTGTAGCAGACACAATGGGGTTGTGTAAACAGGGTTGGGATAGCGTGGACTGGGGGAGTGGAAGAGGCGGTGCCAACAGATAATACATGTTTCTACAAGGCACGCTAAAAATTAGTTACAAACAAAATACCACAGAGAAAAACTAAATTCATATGATATTCGTGAATGTATAGTACATTTTTTACAGTCAACCCAGCATTTACTGTTTTTAACCGCTATGTTTTTGTGACATGCGAAGTGCCCCAACATTTTTTGACATTACTTCAGGGGAGTGAAAGAGATGCTCTCACATTAATTTACCAGATCAGTTGTTTTTTCAATTATTTGCCCCATAGGAAAGACATTTTTCAGATTATTCTCCTAGTTCTTGGCATTATATTGTTAGCTTGCGTTGTAAAGCGTCTACTGTACCTGCGTGGTGCTACGGCACAGCTGTGTGTGAGGTCACGTGACACTGACCTCTCTGATGCCCCCAAATCCCACTCCCCCACTTACTCTGCTGGGCTACCTGTCACATCACACACACACCTCCAGCATACTGCGTTTGTACAAACACACACACACACTTAAATGCATGCTTTTCTCTACACACCCTTTACTTCTAGCTTACGAGTGTCGGACTATTGTGTCTTCCTGATCTCCGAATGTTGGACAGTCTTCATTGCGTGAAGTGTAATACTGCTAAACTGGGCTTTCTCTATTTCACTAAGACAAGTCTATGGTGGTCCAAGTCATTTGAATGTGCTTGTTACTAATATGAACCAATTCAATAAAATAATTCAAAAGACAACAAAGACTGCAGATTTGAATTCTTACTTTTTTATTTTTTTTAAAATGAAATGTCAGAAGTGATTATGGCTCACTTTGGAGGTTTAGCTCATCACTCGTTAGACACGTTACGTACAAAAAAGAATTGAAAAAAGTTTTACTGTATCACATGCCACAGGTAGAGTGTGTAAATAGGTTAAATAGCATTCAGATAAAACGGTGTTTGCTTTTCTAACTAGTCTGGGCTGCTCTACATGTCTGCGCGTGAGTGAGTGGCTCCTTTGTGAAAATGATTTACAGTACAAGTTGTTAAGGGGGCGGGGGGGGGGGGGTACCAGTAACAAGGTTGATACATGGAAAGGCAACATAAAGAGAAAATATTTAAATAAAAAATACTTTTATATACAAATACAGAAAACAAGCAGCAAGTGAGGGATATCGATGAAATATCAAAAAATATGATCTTTGTATATTTAGTTCTTCCACCTAAAAAATGTGACGGTGGCATCAGTCACATGACAAAGTGGAGGAGGAGAACGTGTGAGCGAGTCTGCAGGTGGTGGAAGTTCAGCTCTCAATGGCCCCTCTGACAGAGCGGGGAGATTCCTACAGGAACGGTGATGCTGGCATCCACGATTTATTTATTAGGAGATTTACTTTCTCAATAATATGAAACAGGCAGAGCACAGCTTTGTGTGCGGCTCGTTTCTATGGAGCCTCTAAGAGGACTATAAAAGGATCAGTTGTTTCCTCTCATTTGGAGTCAGCGATCGGAGCCCGGAAAATAAAGATATGGGGCACTGAATTGTCTGTAGCTAACTAGCGCTCGGTAGCTCTGAGACTTCAGTTACTAATAATTATTAAATTGTATAATATTGTGGTTTGTTAAATATTAAAATAATCATATTCAGTGTCCAGTTTTCATATTTCTGTCCTTTTTCTCCATCCTCCCTTTAGCAGCTCCGTACAGATGTAATACTTTTGAAACTGACATGTGGTAACGTTATTTCACTTTGCTAAAATTGTATTTAAGAATATTAAAAAAATGTAAATGTTTTTGTAAAGCCTCCTTCCCATTGTAAACATCACCTTGTAGTAATTGGTCTGAAACACACATTAAACTGTGTGTGTGTTTGTCAGACAGCAGAATGCAGAGGAGTTCCCGCGGCGTGTGAAGGGGAATGTTCAGAGAAGGAAGATGAGGAGCGGGAGGTGGCGTCTCTCTTCAGCTCCTCCACCCTCCTCTGCAGCTCTGCTCTTAAGAACAGAAGCTCCTTCAGCGTCTGGTGCACCGGCACCTGAAGAAAACGCACACAGGATTAACAGGAAGTGTTTCCAGCAGACGCCAGGGCCATTTGATGAGCCGGATTGTTGCTTTAGAAATATCTGAAAGCGGATTACTATTTGAAAAAAATATATTGTTTGTAGGGGGCGGCACGGTGACGTGGTGGTTAGCACTGTTGCCTCACAGCAAGAAGGTCCTGGGTTCGATTCCGCCCAGTGGCCTTTCTGTGTGGAGTCTGCATGTTCTCCCCGTGTCTGCGTGGGTTCTCTCCGGGTTCTCCGGCTTCCTCCCACAGTCCAAAGACATGCTCTGGGGATCAGGTTAATTGGGGACTCTAAATTGCCCGTAGATGTGTGAATGTGAGTGTGAATGGTTGTGTGTCTCTGTGTAGCCCTGCGATTGGCTGGCGACCAATCCAGGATGTACCCTGTCTATCGCCCGAAGTTGGCTGGGATGGACTCCAGCCCCCCCGCGACCCTGTGTGCAGGATAAGCGGTTTGACAATGGATGGATGGATATTGTTTGTATACATGCCTCCATGTACACGCAGGCCCGTACAGGGAACCTTATGGGCTCACTGGGACAAAGTGTGGAACATACAGTAACAATTAAGTAATAGTTTTTATCATGAGATTTCCATTTGACAAGTAAATTTGGACATTTGAGAAAGTAACAGTCTTATTTTACTAGTGTAGGTTTAACATGTACATTTTTAACAAAAGTCAGCAGCCTTGCTGCTTTCTGTTCTGTCCACTCCTCCAAATTCACATAAAACCATTTAAACTATTCTTACATTCCAAATGTCTTATTTAGTCACAGTCTGGGATATGACAATGACTAGCAGCGACATTGATGTAGAGTGCTCCGTAGCAGCAGCGCCCCCAGTGGAATCCAGGAGGAGAGCACGCATTGGGCCCACAAGGCAAACGTCACAAAGCGGAACAAGTTAAGCCGGGCTTTGGGTTGAAAGCCTGCAGATATTATTTGTAACGTCCATAACCAGAATGCTCTGCGTACCTGTGGTCTCATGCGCGGGTTCCAACGGGCGTAGTAGCCCGTCCACAGCTCCAGGTGTCTGGAGGAAACCAGCGGGCACAGCACGTGGTGCTCATAGTCCACGTAGAAGGGGTTGGTGAAGTCCTCCGGCTGGCTGCAGGGGACGAAGACATCAGATCAGACACACAGACTGACGCTCTACCAATCCTCTCAGGGAGGTGAGCAGCTTACCTGTTAATGTAGGACCAGAGTGACACGGTGCTGGTCTGCACCTCCTAAACGGGACAAAAGAAGAGCTGAATGGGACACGGCTCCATCAGGCGGGGGGCCCCCGTCACAGGAAGGGTGATACGTACCTTAGCCGCCCTCTCCTGTTCGCTGCTGTACAGGAACGTACCAAACAGACAACTATAGAGGTGGTCCAGCACGGTGATCAGGAACAGCTCGTTGAACTCAAAGGCTGCTGGGAACTGCAGTCAAGAGGCACACAAGGGATCAGGGGGGGTGGGGAGGAGACAATGGCTGTGTCTCAAAGTTGCTAGGCTGCATCCTTAAGGACGCATTCGTCGACATATATAGATATGTATATAGATATATAAAATATAACATCACATCTTAGTATATGACGTGACGTTGGTAATCGATGTTGTGTTTTAAATGCACACAAGACGCTAGATTAAGCTGCTCTTAGTGGTAACGTTAACTCCGTTATCCCGCCAACCCCGTACAGCCTGACCCAGACTCCTGAACCCCCCTGGGTCCATGTACTGTTTTTATGAACACCAATGTACCAACACACATTCATAACAAACACACACGCTCGTCTGCCTGCATCCCCCCGTAGTTATTAGTGAAGTTATGAACCTGAAATATCACTTTCTAAGTCAGTAACGTTACAGAATAAATACACAAAGAAACCTTTTGTTGTGTGATTATAAACTTTTAGTGTTCTTCAAGTTCTTCTCTCAGCCTGAAATCTATCATGCTCCGGAGGAGAAGCTTTTCTTCCTAAATTAAATTAAATTAAATTGAATGAAATAAGATAAGATATTCTTTTTCTATACTTTGTAATTTGTTTGGCTTTTAAGGTCCACCGCGAAGGCTGCAGGCTACAAGGGTGCAGGATACAAGGATGCAGGCTACAAGGCTGCAGGATACAAGGATGCAGGCTACAAGGATGCAGCCTAGCGACTTTGAGACACAGCTTATTACTGTCTCGGAGCAGCCGACAGGGCAAAGGTGTAGTAGCCAGATGCAGTACTTAGTACTACGGATACCACGGATCTCTGGATGTTGTCGCAGGCCCATTTCCAAGCGCTGTAATGAGGTGTTGGAAGTTGTGTTACCTGTCGAGTCATCTGCCAAACGCAGTCGATAAACTGGACGAAGAGAGGCGAGCGCTCCGAGTTGGCGTGGTTCTCATCGCCGTGACCCACGCGCTGCGGCACAGAACAAACGTTAAGAAGTGTTAATGTGTGTTGCTTCATAAGTATTCAACATGGAGATGATGTGTCATAAAAAGTAAAATTGTCAGTGTTTATTAATTGATGTGCTAATCGCCAGTCCTATTTCTATTACATTGATACTTCAGTTTGTTATTGGCTTCAAGAGTCAACAAACATCTCATGCTCAGATCTACATTCTGAGCATTTCTCTTTGGGAAGCAGGAATCAACGTGTTCCCAGTTCGGCCCCACACGCAAACATATTAGGTTGATTCAGTTTCAATGACAACACAAGGTCCCTTACAGCGGCAAACTTGTGTCCGAAGCTGACCCACTCCTTCTCCACCAGAACCTGTAGAACACACACACACAGATACAGAACGGTCATGCTGCGTGGAGGGGGGCAGGGCCGACACAGCTGATCGTTGGTGCAGTGTTGGTGAGACCTGGAACCCTCGCAGCGTGCGGTAGTGACTGTCCAGCATCAGCATCGCCAGAGAGGTGAGCTGAGCGGTCCGGTCCCAGCCGTCGCTGCAGTGCACCACCACCGACGTCTTCGCCGACTCCAGCTTGTCGGCTATCTTTGCTGCTCCTGCCAACAACAGCTAACACACACAGGAGTGTATCGTTAGTAAAACACAGCAGCGATGAAGCAACAAAGGTCGGGGGCGGAGAGTCACCCGGATGTACTCCAGCCAGTGCGTCTGGTCGATAGCCGAGTGCCAGTGGGCCTCGTCGATGGTGGGGTAAACCACGTCCTTCATCTTCCTCAGAGACTCCCTCATCACGTGGATGTTGGGGATCTCCAGGAAGTTCAGCTCCACGTTTGGGTAGACGCTCTCGCTCTCGTACCCTCCGTCCTTCGCCTGTGAGGAGGGGGAGGTGTTGAGGGGCGAGAGAGAGATGAAAATAAGTCGTAAAAAAATAAAACGTGTGTGACGGCCCCAGGGCTTCTGCCAGGGTATTTGTGGGTGTGTCTCTGTCTGTGTGTGTGTTACAGGGTGAACTTCCTGGTGGAGTGGAGCTGAGGCCATCAGGCAGATCAGACACAGCTAGCCACTGTCTTGAGGGCATTAAAACCTGCACCTTTCTGAGTGTTTGGGCGCGACTTCTGGCTTTCTCCTGTTCCCCAGCGCAATGGCGGTTTCGTTTGTCTAATCGGTTAATTTGGAGAATAAAAATTGTTGGCTGATAATCCCTGTAGCGTGGTTTCTTGTATTTGTTGTGGCCTTGGAGCTGGATCATAACAACGTGTAACATGAGAAACCGGGTAGTGTGTGTGTGCGCGCGTGCGCCGCACCTTGTTGGTGACCGCCACGCTGCTCTGGCGGGCGTCAAAGATGGTGAGCTTGTGGGACTGGGCGTTGGCGTCCATGATTATTTGGAGGAAGCGCTCGTCCTCTTTGCAGCGGCGGTCTGACGGGCCGACTAACGGCTGGCTGCAGCGCACGATGGTGGCCTGAGTCTCTGGATGGATCCAGGACAGGACCTGCAGGAAGAGCAGGATGGGGCGCATTTCTGTCAGCAAACCACAATGTGGGCACTCAAGGCTAAAAGTCTAAATCTAAATCTTTCAGAGCTCCATTTGGAGCACAATAGGCCAGCAGCCTCCTGCGGAGGTCTCTAGGCAACCCAGAGCTGGATTAGAAGCAGAACAAAAATGGCCCCAAATACAATAGGTACAAAATTAGAGACAGATTGACCAGATTGACCCTGCTGATGTTCAGGAATCAGCAACATTTATTGCCAAATTAAACCTGCGTTTCATGTGGAAGTCTCAAATATGGTTACCAATTTGTGTATTTTATTTTATTTATGTATTGTGTTATCTTCTTTCTTGATTTAATTGTTTTATTTTCACCTATTTCTATATTAATGATGTATCCATTTATTCTCTTTGTTCTTTGAAATGTGTGCCAGGAATAAACGAAGGGTAGCGACTGACCGGTATGCGATGCCTGGCTCTGAACACAGCCACTCGCCTCACGTCGTCATCTGCGATGTGGGTGGGGATGACCAGGATGGAGGGATACGTGTCACACAGCTCGTAGTTGCTGTTCATCTTACTGAAGGCCCAGCTCTCATTAGGGAGACCCTGAGGAAACAGCCGTTACAAACAGTCATACAGTAGCACCATGCAGCGTTTCCTGTGGCACGACAGCAGTGTTCATACATTCATCAACTAGTATTCCATGGCAGTACCGTCAGCAGTACACACAAGTATACACGTATAAAGTTTGGATGTTTTGAAGTGGTGTTGATAAGGTACTACTCTGTAGTCAGAGTATTCATCTTGCGGTCAGACGGGCCTCTCGACTAGAAGCGGAACTTAAAGAGAAGCTTATGATCCCTTCAGAGCCTCCGAACTCCGTTGACAACAAACAGCAGAGAGAAGTTTCACTTTCAGCTCCATTTCCTGTCGGAAAATTGTCTTAATATAGCAAACACCTTAACACAGCAGTAAATTAGCGTGCTTTAAGCTCCATCTACTGTTGGAATACTAATATTACGGATTATGATTAAATATTATTACTAATATATTCCAGGTGGCCTAATCTGTTGTATTTCATTTACAGTACTCAAACAAGTGGACTCTTTGAAGTGTTGCTATGGTAAACGTTAGCGGGGAGAAATGAGGTTGTGTTACCAGACGCCTGTACTCTGCCGTCGGCTCGTACACCTTCCATCCGTCCACGGGGAACTGCTCCTTGTACAGGAAGGCAAACAACGGCTGAAAGGGAGCAACACATGACGCGTGTTAGCATCCACAGCCTCCTTTGTTTTTATCAACACACACACACACACACACACACACACACACACACACACACACACACACACACACACACACACACACACACACACACACACACACACACACACACACACACACACACACACACACACACACACACAGTGAGACTGACCAGACTGTGGGAGAGGGGGAAGGCATGTTTGGACAGCAGCTCCACCACGTCCGGATGACTTTCCTCCGTCTTGTAGGCAAACCTGGGACTCCTCATGTCCTGATGCCAGAGACATAGACAGACAACAGGAATGGTGGCGTAAACGCAGACTCTTTGCTGAGATGACTCTGCTGACTCTCTGGTACCTTGCACACCAGCTCCAGTCCTTTGGTGTTCTCTCCCTGGTTGGGAACACTGATGGTCTCCAGTCTGCTGATGACTCCCAGGTTCACGTCGAGAACAAATGGACACTCCTGGATGTGCAAAGACATTCACACACAGTTCCAAAGTCACACAAACACACGTTTGTGTGAGGGTCAAGTAGAGGTTTATGTAAAAAAAATAAGTTGATAAGTGATAAGTTGGATGTGAAGTACCCGTTCCACGCTGGTGAAGTAGAGCTTGTAGTCTGTGATGGTCAGGGTTCCATTAACCAGACCACTGAAGGGACAGATGTACATCACATCCTTCACTGCGTGTCACACAAAGAAACAAACAGGTGTTGATAATAATTATATATATGTATATATTACCCAGTAATATACACTCACTTGCCCAAACATACACTACAAAAGAAGCTCTGAGAAGGAGAGGGTCTCTTTAAATGGCTTCTATATTATTGACCTGAATATGGAATTTGGCACCTATACGTTGTAAACACCAGAGGGGGTAGAATCGCTTGTCCTTCTTGAACTGAGGGGTCGTTTGGACGGCTGAGAACTCACCGGTGGTCTGGACGGTCTCTCCTGGGAGCAGAGGAACCTGGTTCTGGAACATTGTGACCGGCGCCCCGTATCTCAAAGCTGGAAGGTTCTGTACAGAGCACGGAGCGGTCAGTGGGACCATCCTGCACCACTGAGACCTCACACGGAATAAATAGCTGGAATAGCTGGAACATCTGTGAGAACAAAGGTGGCTAATGCTAGCGAGTAGCATGAGACGACCAGTTGGACATTCCCACGATGGGAACAACAGGAAGCATTTCCCTAATAGCAGCTTTAACTTTGTACAGCGGCGGTGCAACGTGGGCAATTTCTCTCTGATGCATTTATTTTACTAATATAAGTATAGTTTTAAAGAGGTTTGACAAAACATTAATCTTAATTAGTCAAAGTAAATAGAAAAATGAATGAATGTAAATGTGGATACAGATCACAAGGCAAACACACAACACTGTTGACAGAGAAATATTAATGGAATATTTCAAAATATTGCAAACAGAAAATGTTCAAAAGTTCAAAATCCACAACTAAATAAATTCATTCTAACATTCTCCCTAAAACACAGAAATATGAACATCGATACGACAGAGACGGAGATATCCAGCGTTCCCACAATGCGAATCAACAGCTTCTTCCTCTCTGTCTGGTTAACTCCGGTCTCTCAAATTCTACACTTGCATGTTACACATGTTATTTGCTGTCATCTTCATCATCAGGAGCGGAGACAGGAGAGGAGGAGGCATGCAGACCAGGACAAACAGAGGAGGAGGAAGGACAGACAGAAACTTGCCGAAGCACTGGAGGGAAGCTCAGAATAGATATCTCCATGGTAACAAAGCACTTCCTCTTGTGAATCTTGCTGCCGGCGAGAAGCAGCGTGGAGAAAGTGAGAAGACAGAGAAAAAGAAGACAGAGATCCGTCATACAGTGAATGTACTGATTAATCTGCACCACCTCCCCTCTCTCCCCCTGGGCGGAGCTGGTGTGTCCTCGTAGGGGGTGTCCAGGTTAGAGCCCACAACCAAAAAGGAATATAATCTCCACATCTCCGCTTTTATCATACAGCATACAGTTCATGCGACAGGGAAGGATCCGGTATCGGACGCGTTCCAGTTTGCCCCTCCGAAATATTAATACTCTGTCAGACGACAGGCGGTGCATTTCCAATGATTTAGCTTTCAATTAGCTTAGCTATAGCGGCTACTTGTGCAACAAGACACAGTCTTTCAACCCCGGCTCCAGTTTAGAGTCTGAAGCTGTAAATAATACCGGCACACGTAGAAGGAAGTCTTTGTCCACATACAACTAGGGTTGCAAATTTCCAAAGTTAAGCTCAGGAATTTGGGGAATTGCTTTTTCTTCGCAAAGGTTTTTTCTAAAGCCCTAACGGGGAACAAGACTATGCAAGCCGAGCCCAGCTGGACCCTGGATGCATTACCTAGCGTATTGATTACTTGGTAAACTGAAGCCATGTTCATTTTAATACCAAGTTAATTTGTATACAGAAGGCCAACATCCACAGTAGTGAGAGTAGGATGGATGTATCGGATTCGACTCCACCCAGAAGCTTTTCCGTGGGTGCATGTTCTCCCTGTGTGCACGTGGCTTCTCTCCTGGTACTCCAGCTTCCTCCCACAGTCCAAAGACACAGGGAGGCTCTAAGGATCAGGTTAGTTGGTGACTCTAAACTGCCTGTAGGTGAAACTAAGGGACATTAGTCTCTCAATGTTGGCGTGGATGGACCCCAGCAGCCACTGATCTCTGTCTAGATGGCGTTGTCCAGCGGGCGGCCCCATCTCCCCCCATCGGCCGGCCCATACCTCCTAAAGTTGTATGGAATACAGCACATGCTGTGTTTTTTAGTAACGTATGCAGCTAGCTGTTGTAAACCTAAGCTTTTTTCCTCTCAATGCAGACGCAGACATTGACCTGAATGGATTCAGGGAACAACACTAAAAACACTTCACTTAGAAGTAGACTTTTTGGGGGGTGATCATGGAAACATACTATTTTATTCAACGTTTTTGAAACGGTCTACACATAAAAATGTGTGTTAGAAATGTTTGCATGCATGGCTGGTTTTGACAAAACAAAATGTTGTTCTGTCATACATGACTGGGTGAATACAGTTTAATTACCACAGAATGTACAGTTAATTCCCAAAGAAAGTTTCCAACTTAAATATTCCAGGAATTTTGCATCCCGAGCTACAACACATCACAAGAAGTACACAAGTCTGAGTTTAGGATTTATCACTAGAGGGACATGGACGTCTGAAGAAAATGTAATGACAATTAATTCATTATTAAATGTAGTTGAAAAACCCCAAAACCCAAATCTGCCTCAGGGGGCTTTACAATCTCTACACAAGCCTTTAACAGTGGAAAGGTTACACACCGATGAATAATGAACTGTGAAAGAGGGATGGAGTGTGAAGGGGTGAAGTCAGAGAGAGAAGAAGGCGGCGGACTGAGCTGGATCTGTCTGACACAGGAAGCACCTCTGACATCACGACTACAGGCACACCATCACATCCTGTTTCTCTACATGAAACAGAACAGGATCTTTATAACCCGCAGTTTTAATTATTCCCCTTCTCTTTATCCTTCACGCAAGAAAACAGTTGGATTGTAGCTTAAGCTTGAAGCTAAGCTGCACTTTCTCTTGTCTTGTATCTACAACAGCAGACTGATGACACTAAAACTCTTACCCTGGGAGTCAGCCTCTTGACAGACGGGCACGCTCACACACACACACACACACACACACACACACACACGATGGAATAGACTACATTCAGGCTGCGATATCAAACAGGTCACTTTTACTGCGTGGCATTACATATTTTGTTATTCATCAAACTGATCAATGAATGATTTTTTTGGTTTTCTAGTCAGTATCAGAATGTTTCCATGCATTTCAAAAAACAGCCTCAATGTGTGTTAGCAAGTTCTGTATATTTACGTAATGTGGTAATTCAGCCTATAAGGGCGAACATTAAAATTACTTTGACCTCCCAAAAAACAATGCTGAATCAGTTCTTGAATCCTAAGCAAGTTGCAGGCGCCTCCAGCGTTGGTGGTCAACTCGACTGTCACGCTAAAGAATAGTCGTTTCTTACATGTTAATGTGAACTCATTACACAGCATTCAGCAGCGAATGTTTTGTCCATATGGCCGACCACAAAAACCACGACTCAATAACCAATGTGCTTGTTAAAAGACAATTCGGTTGTTTTTTTTAAACATGGGCTTTGGTGGAGGGCTGCAGGCTGCTAAGAGGCTGAAGCAGAAGACAAACTGCACAGCAGCTCAGCAGGCGCTTATTCTGAGCAACGACAGCAGCTGTGACACTTTCACTCAACATACAAAGCTCTGCCCCCCCAGCACGCACAAACACACACACACGTTTGCCAGGCTTACCATGAGAACCGGTCTTCTCCTAACCTATTGAGTTACAAAACACAAACTCGTGAGAAATAATGGAAACAGGGTGAGATTGTGTGTGTGTGTGTGTGTGTGTGTGTGTGTGTGTGTGTTAGCTACCTTGTTATCCCTGGCAATGTCAGATGGGACTGATCCGGAGATCTGACTGGAGATTGTGGCTGCTATCAGCTGTTTACACCACTCCACATGAGAACCTGTTGGACTGAACAGAGCAGGAAAAGTTGATATAGTCTGCCCTTTAATCCCCACACTACCACTACAAGATATTTTCTGTTACGCTTTTACTGTGAAACATCTTGTATTAAAATACTATTGACGAAAATTATAAAGCAGTATTTGTATTTAGAAGAGCAAGTGACATAAGTTGAAACAGTTATGCAGATGGAATAAGTGCAACAGCAATCCACGTAATACTGACGACAAACACTTTAGAGAAAATATTTGTACACACATTTTATTGGCGACGCCGTTTATTTCCGCAGGCTTTAACATGATGTTTTGCGAGAAAATGAAATCATATTGAAATGCCGTATTACACTTATCTTGTTATGAACAGTAATACATGTGGAAAAATAAAACTAACCAAGTTAAGTTACCTCAGTCTTGAGACCTAAAGGTAACACGTTGTAACACCTGTGTGGTTGAATGGAGTGCAGGCACCTCGTTATTATAACATTTCTGCTAATATTATGAGCACACAGGGCTTTATTCTAGATCACATAGGAATTCTGTCCAAACATTACTAAACTAATATGAGGGGACTCAACTAAGACGTTGTTGCAGTCAGATGAGTTTCGAAATCTCACATTCAGGAAGACGACTAAACACTTCTAACACATTTATAACTTCATTAAAAAATAAAATTACAATGTTTTTTTTTTGTTAAACTTGTACTGGAACAAAACGCATCTGCAAACACAGCTGTTTAGCAATAGCGTCAACCACAGAACGTGTGTGGTTCTTACGAGGAATGTTAGCCAGTAACGATAACATAGTTAGCTAGTAACGATAACATAGTTAGCTAGTAACGCTAACATAGTTAGCTAGTAACGCTAGCTAGTAACGTTAGTAACATCTGTTTTACAGAGCTAGCTATTAGCTGTATGTTAACCTGGTAACATATGTTACACTGTTCTCTGCTCATGGTTCGTCAGATTTGAGCATTTAGCTACACTATCAAAGGCTCCAGCACTGTTACATTACCGTCACACTGAACTACGGTTGAATATTGTCATTATGTAGCCTCTACTTTCGGTTAAAATAATTCATTGGAGCTACGTCGATTTTAAGAAATGGTTATTTTGATGCGGGAAACGTTTGGAATATTATATTATGACGAATACAATATTGGAGAAAGGCAAAAACATTTAAAAAGAGAATGGACAACGCATGAAGACAGTTTGTAATATCGAGGACACTCACCTGTCCAGGGTGTCACCCGTGGCCGGTGCGCAAGTCGGCGGGGCTCTGGGCTTTCTGTTTGGCAAAGCTCCGTCTGCCGCTCCGGCAGCTCCGGCCTGTTTCTCCATCTGCCAGACAACTGCTGACTTTATGGGTGAGTACGGCAGGAGGCGAACGAGTCCCTTTGATACGAGGATGGAGATCAAATTAGACCTCGGTTTAGTCCCAATGTCGGCAGGTGGCTCCTCTGCGTTCCAGCTGAGGGTGTCTCTGGGTTTTATAGCGTTAGTTATTTCAAAAAGCTTCCTGTCATTTGGTGAATTTGTGCTTCCTGCCGGCCGACTCGCATTGTAGCTCCGCCCACCGATGACGCGCCTGAGGGGCGAGGAAGACACGGGGCCAAATATTTGGGGTAAATGCTCAACAACTGGGCGAACAATTCAAACCATATAAATAACCGACAGCATTTTTATTTCGTTTTTTTTCTCTCCAAGAACTGAATCTATATATGGCAACAGTCTAAGAAACATAAAAAATACGAAGGTGGTCTTTGATAAATAATACATTTAGAATTTGTATTACTCGTCATGTATAAATATACATTTAACTATTCATATTTATCACATACATTCATAATATGTATATGGTGTATATATATATATATATATATATAATTTTTTTTGTGGGGGGGGGTTCTACTATGTATATGTACCCCTTGTATGAACAGTCGTGCTAGTACATATAGTAAATATACCTTGGATTTCTTAAATTAAATAAATACATAATAAACTGTCAAAGTAATATAGGTCCCTTTGGTTTTTCCCTAAAGTGAGGACATGATCAGCTGTACCATGTCACGGGGTTCCTCTCGATGTCAGAGTACATACCTGTGAAAATATTGAACATTGGTAGTGTAAAGGTATAAATGTTAACAATTGTATACACTTTTAAGTATCTGTAGTCGTGCTGTAGTGTGTTAATGAAGTGAGCCGGAAACACCTTTAAAAGAAAGATGAATTAAAAAAAAAAAACAACATCCAAGGAGTTTCAGAAATCCTTAAATTAATTTAATCAGTAATATTTACATAACAGGACCCATTGATCAAACTGCAAAGGGGATATAACATGATTCAAAGAAATACATTTGAAATGTACTCCAATTCTCGTCTTCCCTTGTGGATGACAAAAAGATCCTGTGACACATTTCATGTGTATTTATTTAAAAAAGCCAGCTATATTATGACATGAAACCCCTCAACCTACAGCTTCCTACATTAATGAACGAGTACATTAAAAATGAACGGTGCTCCTCGGGGAGCCTTGCTGCAGAGCCAGACGGAATCCTAAAGCTGGAGATCCAATGGAGAAGTGAGAGGAAGGTGTCATGGTTTTAGACAGGCCAACATGTCCAGGAGCTTCTGTCTTCTCCTCCTGTGTTAGCGAGCACAAACCAAAAAAATGCCCAAAGAAAGTACAACAGTCTCTAATTAAAACCAATGGAGCAGAAATACACAATTTATACCAAGAAAGTCCAGACCACCATTACCTTTTTTAAAAAACTAAGATTTTACACTACATAAAATACTTGTATTTTTTACAACAATAGAGCTTTAGACAGTAAAATACGTTTTGATTGAGGTAATTACATCGTGGTTCTTGTACAAAGTAAAAAATAATAAAAATAGTTTTTATCTGTTATTCCCAAAAAACACAGCCACCCGACCAATACACATATTTTAACGCTGTCGTCACTTCTTATTTGTCTCCTTCGTTCCACGTACAAACCCTAATGAGATGAGACCTTTGATAGAAGTCAAACAGTTTAAGAGTGTCCATGTGGTAGAACCTGGGAATAAGGCTTCACTCTGATCTACACTGACTGATCCGCTGACTCATGTTTGAGATTTGGAGCAGCCAAAGTCCCTTTCCCCTGGAAAACGAAACTTCAAGACCTCAGTTAATTCAGACCGTTTTCTGTGGTTCCATTTCGTTACAGTTGCCATGGCGATGGCGTTGGGGACATCAGCTGGCCAAGGCTCAGATTTGTCTGGAGGGTATGGAAGGAGACTGGGTTGGGTTTACTGTCAAAGAAAAAAAAATACTTGGTAGTCTCTGGCCATCTTTTGTGGAAATTGAAGAGCGTAACGTTGTTCTGGAACGTAACGTCCACACTGGAAAGTTGTTTGACAATCCAGCCGTCACAGAATAGAAGAAGTGGTATTCTTTAAATTTGGGACTGGATGCTAGGGACAAAATTTGTGATCACAACACACATTAAATAATAGTAATGCCCAATTTACAATTATAAGAGGGGATTGGCCGTGCCGGGCAACGTCCTGTGCTCACTATTGGCTTTAGAATGATTCAATAATGCGGCTAAAGTTTGGTTGTCGGACTTGATTCATTTTACTCCAAACAATGAATCCACCTTATTTTAGGCCTGCAACATTAGCAAAGGACTAGCCTGGCTGTGAATTAATAACCGCAGATGGTTAATGAGAGTAGTTGTTGTGACGTCAAACATTGGCTTGTGGTGTGCCATTTAGGAGCCTTGAGCACGGCTTGCCGTCATTATCTTGTTTTTAAAGATCTGCCAATAAAGAAAAGGTACCCCAAATGTAAATGTACAAAACATTTATCTATCCTCTGGCGGTGGGGCCGACATCGAGCAAAGCAAGAGAATCAAGAAAGGGGGGGGGGGGGGGGGGTCCCTTGCTACAATGTGGTCTGCTCCTGAGAAACAGAGCACAAGGTTTAAAGGGAATAAACAGAGGAAAAGGTGACCACCAGCTTCCTTCCACATACCCTTAATCATCAGCATGGCATCCTCCCCAATCAGAGGACACGAGGCTTTCTGCTCCAGAACCTGAACCCCAGAGCAGTCAATCTCAAACATGACTCGGGACAGATAGGAGTCAAGGCACAAATCAGGACATAACCTTCTGAATTGTGACTTATTGCTTATTCACAATTGAACCTAGTCAAAATTGTACGTTTAATACATTATCTCCACTAGCCTCCTTACTAACAGTCAGAATTCTCTTTCCCTGCTAGGCCGCATAGAGATGTAAAGTGGGACGAAAATGTAGAGAAGGTTCAGAGGCCAAGCTCCCTCTACGACATCACAAAAAGGGGAGGTGACTACACCTCCGAAAGAGCGCTTCAACGATGGCAGAACCCAGACCTCCTGGGATATTGTGATTGTATATTAATTTGTGAAGGTTTTATTTTAATTTTTTTATGCATGTTGTACAGTGTTCTCTCCCTGTTTTTATTTTAATGTCAATATTCAGAGGCGTTTCCCTCGGGTCTGCTGCATTGTTAAAGCTCCGCTGCAACCTGCAGCTCCCTTTAATAGCCATCCATTTGTTTTATAAGTTTATGACAATAAAGTATCACACTCAAATCCTCAATTTACAGTACTCCTGTGATCAAGCCCCAGTCATGTTTTGCTCCAGTTGATTTGGTTTGTATGTCAGCAGGATTACATAAACTACTGGCCAGATGTTCATGAAACTAGCCCACTAAAATCGGGGGAATCCCAAATCAACAGGCAGATGAAAACATACATTTTCAAATGAACCAAAATGGGAGCCCTTGGAGATAACAGCAAAAACCTCTCATCGGGTAATTCGATTGTTTTTCCACTACAGTCCCTTTAACCACACACACCAGCTCCACAACAGCACCAAAACCCAAAGAGAGAAATTGGAGAAGAATGGGCCTTTTGGACAGGATGGTCTCTTCAGGGAATTCACCAAAAAGGTTACATGAATAAATGGAGTTAAGTCATAACGAAGTGACGTCACACTTCTCACTAGGTGCTTTGTCTGTGCAGACCAACAGCCAATTTGCTACACGTGAGCTGTAATCTAGAGTCCAAAACCATGAGTAGTCAGACGACCAAGCAGCAATCAGATAATTGGCAAAAAAAGTTGTATTCACCAACTAAACGGTCTTTTCTGATGTAAACAACCTGATATAGCATATAGTATAGTATCCAGATGAAACACTTGGGGGGGCGGGGAGGGAACAATTTGCATACAAAGCCAATACCTGTCCAAAAGGCACGACCTCACACAGAGGGGCTCAGGGGGGTCATGCAGAAACAGTCTGAGGCGGAGTGAGAGCTAGCTGGTTAAACCTGTGTGCTGCTGCATGGTGAGGCTAGCATGGACCTGGGTTTCTCTCTGTCGGGTCGACTGCGTTCAATGACAACATAGAAGCAGGATCGGAGGCCAGCACCACTTCATGTCCCTGGAGTATCTTAAGCACCTTAAATATATTTCAAACCACGTCAAAGTTGCATTCATAAAAAGAAAAATAGCCAATTCATTCCAACCAAACTCCATTGTGCGTTAACTCTGTGGGTCATATACTTTGGGTGCAAGGGAAATACTGCTTAGTTGAGTTTAGCTGATGGCGCCTGCATAACATCCAAATGGGCCCTATTTTTCATCCCCAGGGGGAGCAGCAACAAAATCCACATCAATCCATCCAAAATATGTCAGATTCCATATATATATATATACTTAGCCTCCAACACCGCTGTCTGTTCAATTCCCTGAGGGAGAGGGCGACACTCGGTCAGTACAGATAGCAACAAGTGGGAGGAGTGACATATGTACAACATCTGGATCAGCACTTTGCTCCGTGTCAGCTAGCTGAGTTTTGGTGTATATATACTATGAAACGTGTTGCGTTGCCAGGAAACCCATTGTTCCATTTTTTTGTCATGGCACTCCATTTAAACACCCTTTCTTTATGTAAATACTCCTACGTTTGCTTGGGAAATAGCTAGTAAGCATACCTCGAGTTTAAATGGTTTTCATCTGTAAAAACTTTGTTGTTTCTTGTACTCATCTTGGCCACAAGAGGCTGATGTGTACCAGCTCTTCTAAATGGGACTTAAAAGCCTAGGTGAGTTTTAATGTCTGCAACTGATGTTTTCACAGATGAAAAATTATGTCTTTTCTCCCACCTGTCCTGGAGTCAGAAACACAGGAAACTCCTTTTCTCTCTTGCTTCTCAAGGCTTTCGTACAAATCAATAGTGCGACAACACATATGTGAACACGCACATACACCCATTGTGTGTCCAGTATGTTCGAGCCCTTTGACTGAAAGCCAGGGAATGTCTTTAAGGCTTTCCTGTATGTGTGTGTGTGTGTGTTGGTTTAGAAAAGTCTCTAGGCAAGGCTGTACTGTGGCATATTGCATAAATCACCATCATCACCACTATGATGTTAGAATTACCCATCAAATCTAAAATTGTGTTAGCATTCTTTGTTAGGACAGTGAGGACTGCAACACTAAGTCCTTCCCTGCGTGTGTGAGATGCTGACAGAATTCAGGGTGAAGGGGAACATTAAGTGCAAGTCAATCGGTATGTCTGAGTGTGGGGGGTTGTGTGTGTGTGTGTGTGTGTGTGTGTGAGGGGGGGTTGAGACAGCCCTCAGAGGGGAGTGTGTAGCTCTGTGTATGGCTGTGGCGGCGTTGAGGAGGTGGTGTTGGGCGTGTTTGCCAGACGGGACGAGGAGGACTGCTGAAGCTCCTCCAGCTTCTTCAAGTACTCGTCTCTGAGGGCCAACAGTTCCATGTAGCGCTGCTCCACCGGACTCTGCTGCTGCAACACACACACACACACACACACACACACACACACACACACACACACACACACACACACACACACACACCAAACTACGATCTGAGTGATTGTCTAACACTGATTCTCCTGTTATTAAAATCTGTACCGATCATCACCAAGTCTACCTGCTGCTACACAAACGGCAGCATTCTGCACAGGAATCCTCTGCTTTTTGGTCACATGTTAAAGATGATAAACTGCTGCAGGTTCCTCTCACTTGTGAAGACAGTTCTCAGCATCTTCCGGAGGAACATGGAGCCACACTTTTGTCTGTCCTGATAAGTGTCTCACCGTACTATCGGAGTCTGTTTGCTACGGTGCCGTCTCCGAGGGGATTTAGCCCTGCAGCTTCTAAAGTACTGTTTACCGAATCAATACTCATGTAGGACCGTTTTCTGAAATACTCCAACTGTATTGCGGAAACCGTTCTCACAATGCCCCCAACACTTTAGTTGAGACTGACCTATTGCAGCATATCACATGACTGTAATGTGCCAAATCAGTTCGACAAACCAGACATAAATACTGCCAGTAGCTATAGCCACAGACTCCGCGTAGGCCTTACCTGCTGTCGAATGCGCGGGTTCCAGCGGATGTAGTACGTCACCCACAGCTCCAGGTGGCGCATGCTGGCGACGGGGTACAGCACCCTGCCGGACTCAGGGGTGTAGAAGGGGTTTAAGTAGATCTCCATCCTGCTGTTCACCAGAGACCACAAGGATACCGTCTTCGACCTCACCTCCTGCTCAACAGAAAGAGGGCATGGTTGTGAGACGCCGCCTGAGGAAAAGTGGGAGTTTTCCGAGGGCGCTCGTTTCCCCGTCTTACGTGCTGGTCTCGTGCGCTCTCGCAGTTGTAGAGAAAAGTCCCGAAGCAGCAGCTGTAGAGGTGGTCCAGGATGGTCAGTAGGAGGCGCTCATTGAACTCAAAGGCTGTAGGAAACTGAGAGCAGAAGTAGTGCAAAGTTACCAATTCCGCCTCAAACAGAAATTGTTTTTAAGTTAAAAAAAAAAAATTGTTTTAATCCAAAACGTTCTTTTTTCACAGTGCAGTTTTACTTTTATCTGCAGTTTTCTCAATTTCTGTGACTTTTGCTTGCAGATCAAAACAAACCAGCCAATAAAAGGATGCCAATAAATACATTCCATTCTCTACATACGTCAAACACCAATATGGATTTTGAGCCATTAGATCATTGCAATTGGCTGGTGTTATTCTATGAAAGTTATACATACATTATGTTTAGTTTAGGGTTTTAGATCTAATGTGAAATGATCCCCAGCAGTGGAAGCATTGAGCTCACCGTCTGTTCTTGAGATCCAACGAGCCTCAGAGGTGTAATACGCTGACCATTAAGCCTTGCATTAAAGGCCATGAGTCACATATTTTATAAACCTGCTATTCTGATAGTCATGGATTGCTGACTGCTGTTTCATTCGTGAGTGAAAACATTAGTTTAGTGCTTTTCAATTGTTTTTGTCTTTGCCGTAAGAACCAGCGGTCAAAAGCATGCTGAGACTTGGTCAGGCAGTGCTATGAAATTGTGTATGAGACATGGACGAGGCCATCGCGAAGTCGTTGGTTCGTGAACTGCAGTCGCAAAGCATTGAGCTCAGCGTGTCGTCACATGATGTGTATGTGATTGGTTGAGAGGTTTTTGATCAGTAAAATCTCTGATTTATATATTTAGAAATAGTCCGTGCAACCCAGAACCTATTTGCGCTGGTTGCTAGGGCTGATGGGATTGAAATAGTCTTTTCGGGGGCTTGTGTGTGATTTGATTTAATTGAATTAAACCTGAGCTAGTGCCTCTAGCACTAGTCTGACTAATGTAGACGGTCCCACATCAGTGCAGCTGGCTGACTTGCAAGTGACATACCTGTTTAGTCATCTGCCACACGCAGTCGATGAACTGTACAAAGATGGGTGACCTGTCCTGATCTGCGTGGTTCTTGTCGCCGTGGCCTATCCTCTACACACACACACACACACACACACACACACACACACACACACACACACACACACACACACACACACACACACACACACACACACACACACACACACACACACACACACACACACACACACACAATTAACAGGGACCTTTTCCAGTTTCCAGGAGCATTTCTATCCGAATGTTGCTTTAGAAATATCTCAAAGCGGATTACTACTTTAAAAAATATTTAAGAGTTACTTACGGAGGCAAACTTGTGCCCAAAGCTGATCCATTCCTTCTCAATCAGCACCTGAAACGACAGCCATCAATGTATCCGTTCTTTGCTGCACGGCTGACATCCAATTACGAGTAGGCACAGCGAAAGCCTCCACGCGGCTGATATTATAGCTTACTGTGCTGCTCACAAACGTTTCCTGATGTTCACTGACCTGGAACCCTCGCAGCGTGCGGTAGTGACTGTCCAGCATCAGCATGGCCAGAGAGGTGAGCTGAGCGGTCCGGTCCCAGCCGTCGCTGCAGTGCACCACCACTGAGTTCCCGCTGGACACCTTGTCTGCTACCTGGATGGCCCCCGACAACACCAGCTGCGCGTGCGCACACACACACACACACACACACACACACTTACTTCAGACCAGAAGCTATAAAGTCATACCAGAAGAAATTATGACATTTTGAATATTTTCCCCTTCACCTTGACGTGTTCGAGCCAGTGTGTCGACTCAAGACTGGACAGCCAATGAGACTCCTCCACGTTGGGGTAGACGATGTCTTTGAGTTTCTTCAGGGACTCCCTCATGACGTGGATGTTTTGGATGTCCAGGAAGACGAGTTCTGCGTTCTGGTACTCGTCGCCCTCGTAGCCTCCTCCTGTGGCCTGGAGGGGTGGTTTCATATTTACATTCACAATGTTTTTATTTTTTTTTTACAATTAACATTTTGGTACTATACTTTGACAGAATTTTTTTTGAAAGATAGTCCCCTCTCTGACCTTGTTGGCAACGGCGTTGACGCTGGGCCGTGCGTCGTAGATGGTGAGTTTCTCGGTGTTGTTGGCCTCCCGGATCATGTCCAGGTAGCGCTCGTCGTCCTTGTTCCTTTTCCCCGACATGCCTACCAGAGGCTGACTGCAGCGGGCGATCACCGCCTGGTTCTCCCTGTGGATCCATGACAGCACCTGAGGCACAGAGAGGGGTCAGTGCTGCGTCCCTCAGGCTGACCACGCTAAACTATCTAAATCACATATGTCTAACTCACGGCAATCCGCCCGCCGGGGCGTCCGGTGCGGACCGCCAACGGAGTCTGGACGGCCCGCCGCCAAACCAGTGCGGCCCCCCGGATGACTTTTGTTATTATGAGAATTACAGAGCGGTTCTCAGCAGTCACTTCTGCTCCTTTTATATCGATTCGCCCCCCCACCGTCGGCCGTGACGTTTACTCCTCACCTCAGAGCACACTGTTGGCTACTTGCCGTACGTGTATAGAGATTGAATCAGGATTTTAACATTTTACAGCAATTATTAACCCACACCAAATTTAACAAGGTAAAACCCCACAACACAACAGTTTTTGACACAATCAATTTATAACACTAATAGTTGTACATTATTGAAATTACCCCGCTGAACTGCATGCTGGGTACAGCTTGCCCACTATCACAGCAAGAAGAAACACTGAAAAAGGAAATGCAGGAGGAACAACGAGAGACCAGAGATGCACCAACACAAGAGAGGAGCTGTGTCTGTTTGGAGGGTTTTTGTTTCTGGAAAATCTGACATAAGTCCGATCGGAAAACGATTCATTGCAAGGCTGGTCGAGCTGCTGGTATTGCCTATGGTGGCAACACAGCAGCAACAACAGCTAACACGCTAACTCACTGACCGGCGGTCCTTTCAGCATCAATGAATGTTTACTCGGAAAAAAATACCGGGATATACAGAATCTTACAGAGTACCGTAATGTTTTGGCCAATCCCGCCCAGCCCTTACTCAATATACAATGTAAATGTCATGATAAACAGAAGGATTCAATCAGACTATTTACCAATACTACATGCAGCAATCGGTAATCACAGGACCTTTAAAACTAAAAGAAGCAAGATGCCAAATGGGGAGCGTTTCAATGGGCTCTCTTGGCTGTCAACATGGCGACACCGAACTGGCCTCTCACGGCGCTAACAGGGCTAACAACACTTCAACAGCCAAAGAGCTGACAGAACTATACGACTGAAAGAAAGCCTGACGAGCCACAGGCATCTCCACATACCACCACTTTTACCCTTTTATTTCAATGTTCCGAACCGAAATTGTTTTAAACTGATCTCTGCAGAGCAAATATTTGCTCGCCATGGCTACTTTGGTGAAAGCTTGGCGTTGTGCTCACCGGGATGCGTCCTCTTGACCTGAAGGCAGCCACTCTCCTCAGGTCCTCATCTTTGCTTTTCACTGGCACCGCCAAGATGGTGGGGTACGTGTCGCACACCTCGTAGTTGTTATTGATGAACGTGACACGCCACTTGCTGTTAGGTAAGCCCTGTGAAAGACAACCACCGCCATCGGTTACTCACTGAAACTCAAATAATTATTCAAACTATTCCTTTAACTTCTAGTGACACAATGACACCAGGAAATGATGTCCAGCTGTAGCAATGAGAGCATGAGAGTATACTCTGTGCTTCAGCTCCTCCTTACCTGCCGTCTGAACTCGTCCATGGGCTTGTAGATGTTCCAGCCGTTCTCCCCGTACTTCTCCTGACTCATATATGCGAACAGCGGCTGGACGGAGGGAGAGAAGGAGACTTATCAGTGAGCCGTAGAGACAACAGGTGGGCTTTAAAGGGCCACCTTGTCATGTGCTATAAACCGGCTGTAAGGTGAGACGTTCAGACAACGACTCTTGAAAGGCTCGGACTGATTTATAGCAGACAACATTATGGAACCCCACAAAGAAATCACACCTCCTTAATTACTTTCCACTTCCTGGTACTATTCAGACCTCCAGCTACTTTTCAAGGAACTCTGTGGTTACGTTGGCTCATTATTGATGGTGTTTCCATGGCGCCCTGAGGTTGACCACACTTTGCAGTTCAGTGTGCCTGCTTGTTCATATAAAAATAAATAAACCTGCAGAGGAGGAAACTGAAACTATAGAGCGGCTGTATCCAGAGCTTATCATCAGAGGAGCTCGTGCTTGAGAACAGATAGATTGTGGGCAGGCGTTCCTTGGGGTTTGTCCAACCGACATGGATCAAAAGTGAGAAAGCGAGGCTCTTTATTAAGGAGGCCGACGAGTGCGCTGCCCTTACCAGACCGTGTGAGAGAGGGAAGGCGTGTTTGAAGAGCAGCTCAAAGATGTCCCTTCTGCTGTGACCTTCCTGCTTCAAGGCGAACCTCAGGTTCCTCATGTCCTGCTCGCATCAACACACACACACACACGATTATATATATATATATATGAATGAATGAATCTGGCAAGACCCCCCCCCACACCCACACCCACCTTGCAGGTGATTTCCAGGCCGTAGGAGTTTTCTCCTCTGCTTGACGCCCCCCCCATCTTCTCCACGCGACAAATGGCACCCAAAGGAACGTCCAGCGCCATCACCACATCCTAGACAGAGTGACCACATCGTTACAATCACGGACACTCAGAAGCCAGACACAGGTGTGTGACACACACAAAAACAAGGACGAAAGCCAACATCTGCATTAACTATTAAAAGGGTTGAACAGTAGAAAATATCAATAGTGAATCAAAACACACAAAAATGACTTGAGACAGGAATGTCAGCAACATTTCAAACAGCTTGGCTTGTGCGCTTTATTTAAGCAGGTGTATTCATTTGGACACACATATTTTTCCATTCCAATAAATTCTGATATCCATCTGGCTAAAAGTGCATGTCTTGCATCATGATTCAAAAAGTTATCATAAAAATCAGTGTGGAACAAAAAGATCTACTAGTACTATTAATACAGGTTATGGGAAAGTAAAGACACACAAACGTATATGTCTCAAGATGAATGTTCTCTCAATGAGCTTTGTGTGTTTTATTTAGGCAAATTGCCAGTTAAAAAGAATGCCGAATCAGCTATCCGTCCAGTTACCCATGGATGAACACTGGATCTCATTAGTAACAAAATAAAAAATAAAGGGGAAAAATTACATTTCTAAAGGGGAGAGATTCTTTGCTTTCTGAGCTGTTTTATTAATGTTTATCATCGACTGATATCTGCGATAAGGATATGTGTGGAAGTCACAAACAGTGTGTTATGAGAAGGTTGGGATTTTTAAATTAATTTAAAAAAAACACACACGCGACAGGGTTTGATGGGACTTACAGCCTCGGAGCTCTTGAAGTAGAGTCTGTAGTTGGTGATCAACACTTTGCCTTTCACAGCTCTGTTGAACGGACAGACGTAGATGATGTCTTTATCTGAAAGCAGATAAATACACACGTCGTTGGTGCTTTTTGCTCCCCCACAGCTCTCACAGCGTCCGATTGGCTGAGGACGGCTTCCCTTTTGTTATCTGGTTATATTGTTGGTGAGCAGTGGAAGGGACCAAATGAAGCAGAATAACAGCTGTGGGTTAAACTCTTCTCTTGCCTTTCGGCCCGCAATGTCCAGAGAGCGGCCATCAGGACTAGACTCTCACATTGAATTGAGTAAGAAAATGTGTCCAAACTCTTGGCAGCGGGCCGGCTGTCCCTCTGACTGGTGGTGGACTGCCCTCACACACTCACACACTCTCTGAGCTCCACCGCTGCTCCCAGGGACTGATGGAGCGCCGTGTACTCACCTATGATTCTCTCCTCCCCCGGCAGCAGAGACACATCAGCTAACAGCTCCATCTTCAGAGACTCTCTGGACGTCTACAAACACACACACAAACAACTAAACAACAGAGGAAATGGAGGAAACACGTGGATTTGAAGGCCATCCATGTCACATGTTATTCGGGGGGTTCTGTACTTTCGGCGGTGACGAGTGTCCGACCCACTGAGACGAGACACCATCAACACGGCCCGTCTCCTTTTTAAGACATTAAGCTGACGACCTGTGACACTCAGGAATTAAGCAGCTCAGCAACTGCTCCTCTTCATCCTTATTAGGAACTTCCCTTTCCCCTATTTATTTCATTTTTCACTAGTTCATTCTTCACCTGCACAGTTCTATTTAGTGTATACAGGGCTTTTTTAATCAAGTGTTTCACAAGCAATACAAGAAATATGTTTTATGCTTCAAATATTTTTTGCATTGACAGCTTTAGGAATGCTTGTTACAATTCTTCCTAAAAAGGACTTGCAGCTTGCAATCGTAATATTAATAACTAGGCTGAGCTTTTTGTAGCTTTTTCTCCCAAAACAGTTCTGACTCTTTTGTCAGTCAGAACTGACATTTTCAGAAACGCTGCTAGCAATTTGACAAGAGAAAAACCATGCAGTATGAACACAATCTTACAAAAGCATCAAAACGGCCCAACGATACACTACAATACTCCTCATTACAAAAAAAGATAATATTCCCGATTCCAGATGTATTCTCGGCTAAAGAAAATTAATATTCCACAAAAAATGACCATACTGCAAATCAGAGTATTCGTTTATTTACTGGCGTTAGCCAGTTAGCCTTTTCCTGGGGTCCACAAATAGTCATATTTTCAGTAAAAGTGAAATATGACACTGTGCGTGTGAATGTGGTCGGGTGGCAAATAATTCACTGTTTCACAGGCAGACATAGCCAACGGAACCACAGAGACCCACTTACACTGGAGAAGCGATCCGCCATGGGGGTGGGGCTGTAGACGGAGACTGGTGAGGCCATCGCTCAGGGAGGGGGCTTCCACAGGCTGAGGAAGAGACACACACACACTTATTCCAACGCAGAGCTCCTTTAACACCAGTTTCAGTAATGATCCAACAGCGTATATGAGAGACACCAGAACTTTTTCATAGCCTACAGCAGTGACACTGCTGATAGCGTCAGCAAAAAGAGTCCAAGGCAGCAGTTGATTTCTTTTAACCGAAAAGAACACAATGACAATACGCTATGAATGTAACACAGGACGATGCCTTCATCGTCAGTTAAATAACGGGGCGGAATAGAAAGAGGAGAAGCACAGCTCATGCATATGAAAAATACATACCAAGCCTGATCCTGAAGATTAGATTAGTCACTACAGTTACTACAATCACTTATCAAAGGAATTGCTAAGTGTTGCTTTCCAGGCGCAGAGACGCAGCGCTGTCCCAGGTACTGAAGCACATCCAGAGACACGGCGCCTCAAGTCAGACACGTAGATTACTTCATACGTTCCCGTAGGAGACAGTCTATCTGTGGGATCGTTTGCATAGAAGACCAGATGATAGGAGCATGTGAGCCGTGAGGACTGATGAGATTATTGCACACTTTGTAGTTGAGTAGTTTCTAAATTTAGAGTTTAGAGTTTTTGTCTCTGTGAAAAGGAAAAATATTTGAAGTTGTTTGTCGTCTCTCATTAAACAACATCAGCACAGTAAAAGACAAAAGTATCAAAGTTCAGGCTCTATAAGGCATGCGTTTACTGCGGGCTCAAGCTCCGTGGCTGTAACAGGGCGCTCTGTGTGATGACACCCGGGAACAGTAGTTATCTTTGTTCCTAGTCAACCGGCCAGGAGAGGCAGGAAAACACCTTCCCTTGCAGCTGGATATCTGACACACAGAGATCTGCTTCTCTCTCACTGACCGAGGGAGTGGGAGAAGCAACGGACACTGAATCGAAGGATCGCTTCCTTCCTCTGTGTGTGTGTGAGACAGAGAGAGAGAGCGGGCTTGGAACGGTCAGGAGATCAGATCCCATCTATGTTCCCCACACAAGACACTCACAGATTCTCAAATGCACTAAAATAGGGTACTGAAACAACGAACGATCCTAACAGCAATAGAGTAAGTGAATATTAACATTTGTACGAAGATATCATTGGAAAATTACACTTTGACTTTATTCATTCTGAAGTAACTGATCTGAAAACATTTCATCAAATGAACATAGTAAACCCAGATATTTAAACAGTATAGAGGGGACTTTCGGTGGGTGCTTCAACTTAGAAATAATTCACTTACTAATTATTGGGTTATTGCAAATGTTTTAAATCAGTGGAGCTGCACCTTTTAAAGATGCACCACCATTTAGTCATTTATAGCTCATCATCTCTGCGGCACGCTAACAGAGGGCCGCGGACCCTTGGGGGCCAATCACCACCCCCAGCATGTCCACTGTGGAGCTCCTTATCCGACGTGTGATACTGCAGTATGGATCATGAATAATGAACAAAGCAGCCCTCTTCTTATATTGAGTTACTGCATGTAAACGTACACACGAGCTGTGGAAAGGTAAGGTGAGTAACAGGTGTTCAATGTACTGGGGGCAGCGACAGCTCATCTCCATGTGGCCCTGGATCTCAGCTGTCGCTCAGCCGTCGTCATGGAAACACCTCGAGACCAAAGGCTCATCGTCAAAAAGGACCAGAGACCGGTGTCATTAAGTGAAAGCAGTTCAGGCTTAGCTCGACATTTCTTGTACAATGAAGATGGCGCACATCTAACGTGGGAACACGGTGAGGTACACTGCCAGACGCCAACAGCCGCTTCTGTAAACTTATTGCAGAGATGCATTAAACGTGCATTCAATAAATAGTCCATGTGAGAAAAAAAAAAAAAACCACGGTGTCCCCATGTTCAATTGTAGGGGAAACACTGATGTCTCTTATTTGACGTGACTGGAGTTTCATTCTAGAGTGAAGACAGGTCACAGATTAAATTTGATAGATTTTCTGATTCACACTCTGCTTCAAAAATATAAATGATAGGTTTCAACAACAAAGTTTTTTTCTTTGTGATCCGTTAAGCACTCCAATAATTTCAATTATTGATAAAGTTAGTCAGAAACAGCAGGAAATACTTTTTACATCCTTTCTCACTTCCATTCAGACATGTGAAGATAATAGTTCACAAATCAGACAACTATAGAAGCCCATTTCCGCACTAATGTAAGGGGATTTTGAGATAAAACGTTGTCAAAACACAAACGCCCCCCTTCGGTAATCGTAGTGGACCGTAGATGACAACCAGCTTTAACCATCATTTACCAGCAAGATATTCACAGATTTGGACTTTTTTCCGGTATTTTACAAATACAGACCGGTCTGAGACTAACAGCAGCTTTTTCTTCATTTAAAAGAAAAGTGAATCTGTTTAATATTTTTTTTACATAGGCTACTTCCATATTGTGTTGAAATGCAAGCTGCATTGGTTCTTGCATTGTTGACAGAAAATCATATTTGTGACAAAGGTTTTTTTTTCCCTTATAAAAAAAATGAGAGAAGGTAATTCATCTGTTTTTCTTTAATTATCAAATAAAGTAGGAAGTGATTAGCAACCTCTGAGTAGCAAACTCAGATTTGAGAAAATTTAGAAAATCGAGATGCATCGATAATCGATTTATCAGTTTAGAATCGATAATCGGTTTAGAATCGAATCGTTGACCTCTGAATCGGAATCGAAAGGTGCCAAGAGATTCCCACCCCTATTAATTCTATTGTTACTCATGCTCCGGGATTCATTTAAGAATGGCGCCACAATCTGAATTTTAAAACAGACATTAATAATGACACATGGGAGAACCTTGGGATGTGAGTCAGCGTTGTTCTTTGCGGCTACAGCACAACCAAGACCGCAACAACAAAAAACCAGGATGGCGAAGCCAAAATGATTCCAATGGGTGACGTTATGGTGATGATATATGACAATATGACTTTGTCATGTTGTTTATGCAGTGGAGAGTATGGTAGCTCCTCTCCCACTGAGTTGAGTCTCAGAAGTGTTACAAATAGAAATAAAAACAGGTCTCACCAATCACACATGCACATAAATCGTGTAAGTTGGTCGGCCGACGGGTTTCTTAACTAATTTCATGGAGAAAATTATACAAACTTGGACAGTTTGATGACACACAATGGTTCCTAACGTTTCTTCCTTTCTTGTGTGACTTTGGAGCTGGACAAAATAAATAGAGTCGAATCCAAGGAGTGTAACAATCACAATTTCATTCAGTTTAGCAATCTGGGTTCCAAACAAGTGCACTCATTCAATACATTTTTTTAAATGAGGTTATTGTGCTATGCAATGAACTTGAACTGCAGGAGGGGGAGAGTGAGACAAGCTCAGTATGTGAAACCGTGGTGAGTCAGCAGGCAGGAGCTTTAACAGGGAGAAAGTGGAAGAGAAGTGAAACTGGAACTTTGTTTGTAAATCCTGGCATGTGATTAAGAGATATTAGTTCTGCCAAAGACAAATGTAAAATGGAGACAAGCAGACAGATCAAATGTGTGTGATTGATTGAGACAACTAGAAAAGGGGTTGCTGTTGGTTGTGGCTCACAGCAGAGGAAACACAGCTGTGTGGTTGTGATCAGAATAAGAGGTCCTGTCTCCCTCATCATGTGGTGCTTTTTTCAGTGCGTTGATCTGCAAGCGGTGGACGCTTCCTCATCTGTGACAGCGTGGAGGGCTGCAGGGTGCAGCTTAAAGAGCGAACCAACTACAGCTTCCTGTATTTTAGGTATAAAACATCAGCACTGTCTGCAGCAGGGACTACTGACAAATGTCAAAATCACTTCAAAACTAACGGCAACCTTGTTTTTCCACCTTTTGTCTAAAAAGGGAGAAGCCATGATATATGATACAACTTTTAGTATCTGGTCATTTTACATTTGCCTTTGTATTGAATCTTTACTGATTTTATTTCTGAATTCAATAATGTTTTGTCTCATTTTAGACTGCATGTTATTACGGCAAAGTTGTTATTGTTAAGTTATATCAAATGAAAGGGGTTTTGCAGAAAAACAAAGCGAGGTATCAAAGATTTTGGTTTTGGCACCATAACTCAAAGCTTCCCACGCAGACACTGAAGTGAGCCGCTTGCTGTTCCATGTTCGAAGAAGAAAGCGAGGGGCTCTGAGCTACAGCTCCACCTCTTCTGCCAATCCCCCGCTCTGATACCCAGCAGTACCGATCTCGGTGTGTCTGGTGTATACAAATAACGGGCTTAAATGGATATTACTATTAACCAGAAACTTTGCAACCAATGACGAGGCCGAGCCGCCCTCCCTCGCTCGCTTTGGTTCACAGCGTCTCCATCACCTTTAGGAACCCTGTGGCGTCCTCAACCGAGCCTGCAGAGAACCAGGTTGCGACCCCGGAAGACCCGCTCTCATGTCCGTTCCTCACCCGGAAAGCAGGTCCTGCTCCGGTGCTCATGTGATCTCACGCCTACACGACTGGCTCCTGTGCCTGCTCTGCAGCTCACCCAGAATGCAGCAGTCCAGCGGCCGGTCCTTCAACCTACCCATATTCTCCCACACTGCACCGCTCCTCCGCAAGCACCACCGGGTGCAGGTTTTGGAAACACCAGCTTTAAGCCAAACGCTGACCTAACCTGCCAAAGGAGAAGGAGTTGATGGGTCCTCCTTTGGATTGAATCACCAGCAAAATATAATGTAAACAATACTCAAGCAAGTTAATACCAAGACCGCTAAAGTAGACAGCGCCTTATGTACTGAGGGCGAGATCCACATCTGCAATACATCTGTAGTTGACCTGACCACCCTAAACAGAAGCCGAGCTAGCAGGTGAGTCGGCGCATGCCCACACTAACAGAAACCCCTTTAAAGCTGTTCATGCCCCCCCGCCCTATAATTTACACTAGAATGAGCCCCCACACTGGCTCTGTTTTAAACCTGCCCGTGACCCGGTGACCGGTGCCTCTTTACACACACTGCAACGACGTTAGACACCTTCACTCCGATGGCACAGATCATACCTGCCAGTACTTGACTTTCTCCAGAAGCCGATACGATAACGCCGCGATATAACGCGGGAGGAGGGGAAGTTGGACCGGCTGGTTTTAGTGGGGGAAAGAAGTAGTCCTGGTGATCGGGTCTGCTAGCCTCGTTGGCGGGCTAACACACCCGGAGAGCGGAGATTTGCAGTGAGCGCACACAGGTTGGCTCTTCAACTCTTTCCCCCCGTCCAGCGCGCAGCGGGCGTCGCAGCCGGGCACCACTCGGGCACAAACCCGAGCCCACGGAACTGCTAACGAGCGAGGTGGAGCAGAACAACAAAGCGCTACCAAGAAGAAAAAAAACCTGGACTGAACTTTTCCAATTTAGCCTTTCCAGCAGACACAGCTGTGGAGTTGCACCAGGAAATAGCGAAGGCCTAGATTCTACGACAGCTCGTTCCATCCGACATTGAGGCGGTTTCTGATCAACGGGGCACACAAACCTCCGGCAAACGCCTCCGAAGGACACTCGATAGGGAATAAGTTGTCCTCGCCGTGGCGAAATATCTTAACTTACCCGCAAAGCGCGATTCTCCCGTGGCTGAATGTCGGATCTGTTTCCCTCAAGCCACAGCAGGAACTTGCCCTAACGTCACGTGCCGGGCTGTCATGGCGTGGATTGGCTGGTTGTCAAATCGGAGCTCGCAGGGAATGTTGGGAAACGTAGTTTTCAAAGTGGGTTGCCATATTACCGTATTTTTGAATAGTTTGAAGTCATGTCCGCTGCATGTATGATCTGCAGTTGTAAATCAGACGAAACAAGCAAGACATGATGAATTGCATTGAACAATATTCAGTCCACACATCAATGAGGACAGATGTAGTTACACCAATAACTGCGTAAAGATATTTTGTCTAGAAAGAGGCACAATATTAAGTGTCATTTTTGTAAAAGAAGGGGGAAATGGTTAATGGTCTTTGATATTATTTCAACAGGTGTTCAACAAGTTTTGAAAAACGGTGTTGTTGATTGACCATGATCAACTTACTGGAGTGGGAATGTTAGATTATTTAGATTCTGACTTTTATAAAAGCTGCAAATGATTGTGTTAGTGAACAATACTTCGACAATGACGATTTCATGGTGGTCTTTCTTTCTGTAGACTTGAACTGTGAATGGTTGAAGAATATGAGACTAATGTGGTCAAAAGGATGAGGTGAAAAGGTCTCGTTTGAAGTTGGAATCAAAAGGAATAATAGTTTCTAGTGCCTCAATCAATTATATCATATACTCTTAAGTAAATCCTGTCATATTTCCACTGTATTCAGTGTATAACAAATATTCTAGAATTATGTTCAAAATATTCTGTCCACTATTTTTATTATTAAGTGAATTGTAAAATAAAAGGTAGACTTCATATATAAATTATTTGTAGTAGTAATAATATTACTAATGATTAAGCTAATAATGATGATTTATGTTATATAAGATGATGATAATAATAACATTTTCATTATAAGTGAATTGTAAAGTTATTATAATATATAATATTCATGGTCTACTGCACTAAAAGTGGACTAAAAGTCCTACCTTCAAAGGTAGAATTTTTTTCCTTTTTTTTTTCCTTTTTCCCCAGAATTTTTTTCCTGTGAGGAAAGGCAATTTGCTTCTGTAACATTGTGTTTTCAGGTTTGCATTTTCCTTTTTATTACATCCTCTATGGTCCTCCATAGAATACATATGCTGCAAGCAGGATAAATATGGTTACTTTAGCTGGGCATATTATGCGTCTATATAATAATAAAGTGTCATTCATTTTTATGTTGATTGTGTTATGAGTTTTCATAAACAATAGCAACTTGGATTATGTGTCAGAGGACAAGTCTTACTGATTTACAACAGGAAAGATAAATAGGCAGCATTCCTTTGTTCTTTTGGAGATCTTAAAGCTGCTTTTTTTATTTTAAAACATTTAGTAAATACCTCTTTAGAACAATGTAAGAAGTGCTCCATCATCAGGATCAGGAATCAGGAAACATTTATTAGCCAAAATATGTCAAACATACAAGGAATTTGTCTTGGCGGTTAGTGCGCGACAGACAAGACAACAGTGCACAAGTAATAAAATAAAGTGGAATGAAATGCTAATGCAACGGGTTAGTAAAGGCTAAGGCTATGGGTTAGTATAAAACAAGGGAATAAAGTTAAAAAAATTTAAATATTAAAAAGTTAAAAAGAAAAATATTAAGCATAAAGTGCACTAACGAACAAGTAACAGACAAGAGACAAAGTGACAAGTGACAAAGTGATGAATTGCAGTTAAAGTGGCATGTGCAGTGTGAAGGGGAGTGACCGGTGGAGTGTTATAGTCAGGCAGTGGGGGACCGGGCTCTGTTGATGAGCCCGACTGCCGACGGGAAGAAACTGTTTGTGTGGCGGGAGGTCTTAGTCCTGATGGACCTCAGCCTCCTGCCAGATGGAAGGGGCGCAAACAGTTTTTGTTTGGGGTGAGAGGGGTCGGCCGCAATCTTTTTAGCTCGCTTCAGAGACCTGGAAGCGAACAAGTCCTGCAGGGACGGCAGATTGCAGCCAATCACCCTCTCTGCGGAGCGGATGACACGCTGCAGCCTGCCCTTGTCCTTGGCTGTGGCTGCAGCGTACCAGACGGTGATGGAGGAGCAGAGGATGGACTCGATGATGGCCGTGTAGAAGTGGACCATCATCGTCTTTGGCAGGTTGAATTTCTTCAGCTGCCTCAGGAAGAACAACCTCTGCTGAGCCTTCTTGGTGATGGAGCTGATGTTCAGCTCCCACTTGAGGTCCTGGGTGATGATGGAGCCCAGGAAACGGAAGGAATCCACAATAGTGACGGGGGAGTCGCACAGGGTGATGGGGGAGGGTGGGGCGCTGTTCCTCCGGAAATCCACAACCATCTCCACTGTCTTTAGAGCGTTGAGCTCCAGGTTGTTCTGGCTGCACCACGACACCAGATGGTCAGACTCCCACCTGTAGGCGGACTCGTCCCCACCAGAGATTAGTCCAATGAGGGTGGTGTCATCCGCAAACTTCAGGAGCTTGACGGACTGGTGGCTGGAGGTGCAGCTGTTGGTGTACAGGGAGAAGAGCAGAGGGGAGAGAACGCAGCCTTGGGGGGAACCGGTGCTGATGGTCCGAGAGGCTGGGACATAAGACGTTTGCAAATGGGATGTCCTGTGAACCACTTATTATGACACGTAACACTATTTGACTCATGCCAAGATATTCAAGATAAATAATATGCGATGAAACATCAAAAAAAGAGGTGGGCACATAGAGAAATAAACAGGGCATGATGTCAGTGAGCACATGTTCTGTCTTTGACCCAGGAAATCCGAGCTCTCCGCTGAGGGGAATCAGGAGAGCACAAATTAGTTTTTGTTTTTAATCAATATGAGGTCTCATCAGCTATGTGGACCGGTGCTGAGTCATTGATTCCAGTAACGGGGACACATCTCTCTGTTAATGCCAAAACATGATGTCCCACATGCTGTTAGAGGGGTCGAAGAGGGAGGTTGTGTTCTTTTAAATGAATTCATTAAGCTATGAATCATACGAAATGTGATATCATACCTTTGTTAAAAAAATGAAGAATCACACAACCTATAAGTCATAAGTCAATAGTTGTCATAACTCAAATATGTACAAAAGAAAAACATGAAAGAGTGATTATATGTCTGTGTTTCCGCTGTGTTTTAAAATGAGGTCTTAGCAGCTGTTATCCGTCGAATTCCTTCTGAGAGACAAGGAACTCCATTGTGCACAGACGGATTAGAAAATAAGTGGGTTCTGGGTACTGAAACATAAAGGCCCCCCCACTACGTATCAGAGCCAATCTCTTGTATCGCTCAAAACTTTTTTTTCAGAAGGCCTTTTGTAGGTCACCTTAAACTGGTAACTTAACGCCCCATGAAACTCCTGTTTTTTGCTGCACGCTCACTATTGAAACCCCTCCCTCTCTTGCGGTGCAACTCAAGCGGATTCCTGGAGCCTGGGGCCCCAATGTGGGTAACAGGTGCATTTTGTAAATGAGACCTATAAATATCTGGGCTGGGTATCTCTGGTATTTTCTTGTTTCAAATTGAGTTGTTATTTATTAATGCTATTAATGCATTTTAAAATGGTTGGTTCGACAACACTTCTTGGGGTGCGAAGCCAACGGATGAGCTACGAACCAGGCGTTCAAAACGACTGGAAACTGGAACGGGCCAGTTTTACATTAAAAAAATAAGTGGGCTAAGAATAGTTCCTTGTGGAATCTCATGAACACAAATTGCTGACCCTCAACATAGACTAACATCCTGAATCCCATATTTGTATCGCCATTTAAAAGAACAGTAGCAGTACACTGCAGCAGTGTTAAGCCCTCCCCAATGCAAAAAACCCAAACAAATGCTGTTGCATGATGCATGATAAAGTCATTGTCAGCGTTAATGGATTGCCATACGTTGATGCGTTAACGTGCCCAGCCCTTATAGCTTAGAAGCCTTCTTTAGGTATCCCGATCAGCACCAGCTGCTTTTTTTAGGATCTAAAATTAAACCACGTATCTAGTATCTAGCTAGTCATACAGTGTAATATCCCGTAGTGCATTTTAGTAGGTCTGATGGCATTTTTTAGCCACTTGAAAAAGACACCTGAAGCTCTAACACAAAATTACTCTGGAAAAAAAAGCCAGAAATTAAATGCAACTTGATCTCCTTGGAAGTCTCCGCACGTCCCTTTGGTGCTGACACAATAACACACGCACGCGCAGACACACGCGTAACACGTACACGCACACCCACACCCGCCTACACGCGCATACCACACGCACGCACGCAGGCACGCACGCCCGCACACAGTGAGGTAGCTGGGGGGGTGGAGGGGGAGTCCAGTACGGAGGGGCTTGACGTAGGGAACTGGGAGAGGCGGGGCTTGTGGTTTGGCATCGAGTCGCGAGCGAGTCGCCCCTAACGCAGCCGGTCGGCCCCGTCTTTCATTCATCACCGGAACTGTGCAGCTCGTGCATCAAGCCCGCGGTACCGCCTGCCATCTAGTCTCCTCCGACCGCCGACACCAAGGACACCGCCGCCGGCCATCATCTCCGGTAAGACCTGCGAAAGCAGCCGACCGGGGAGAGTGCGCGGCTCGGTGCCGTCCTATCGGGTCGCGCGAAGGAAAATGACCGGATCTACAGCATCCCGGTGCGGTGCTACGCGGTGCTCGGTAGGCCCGCAGGATACATCGTGACGGATCGGCTCGTGTAGTATGGTTTGAATTCTAAATGTCCATTGGCATTATATAATCTGCCTAAATGTTGCTCGCCGGTGACAGCATGGTGACCTTGTGGGATTATTCGGGCAGAGATTGCTGTGCTTCGGTTATGACTGATGACGACACACGCCGCCGCTGAATGCCTTCAACACTTCTTACAGCATCATTCTGTTTCCTTCTGTTTGGTTCTTTTTTTTTTACCTCCCGAGGACGCCACATGAACACAGCGCTGAACATATTAGGATGCTTAAGGACATTACGGTCATTATGGCCATGTTTAGTCCCATTCAATTCATCCTTCACTTCACATGACGACGGATGAGAGCATGCATGACAACTTGGAATGCATACAACATACAACCAAGAGAATACGTGTGGTTCAAACTTCTACTTATAATCATGGGTTTGGTCCATACATATTTTTATAGTTTGGTCCAAACAATTGTTTTTGGGGGCTGTGTCAGAAAATGGCTGTAGATGCAGAATTGAATTGGACAAAGTGTTCTGTAAATTAGGACAAAATAACAGAAACACCAGCAGGGGCCTGGAGGATGCAGTGTGCAGCTATTTGTGAACAGGGTGCATGTCAGAGAGGGATCGGAGAGCAAGGGCCCATTGATCAATTCGTCCCTTCACTTCATCAATGTTCGTAATTGGCTTTATCCATCTAAGTCACTTCTCAAGGGAAAAAAATAAATAAAACAGACTATTAAAAAATCACTGCAAATAAAATGTCTTTGGACCTTGGGCATTATTTTCTGACATGTTAGGGACAAAATAAGATCCGATGATGGTTTTTCTGTTTAAGAGGAGTCATCCCTGGTGAATATGGATAACATTTGAACTTGATATAATACATTTGGAACAGATGTTTTACATAAGACATTCATTTAAAAAAAGAAAGAAAGAATGAAATGTATTATATCTTCATTCAATACCTTTCCTGAATATATTTCCTGAACAGAAACTATTGGACAATACCAGGTAAAAATGTGTATTTCTTTATGTTTTAGCAGATAAATATTTGGACTCTTTAAATCACTACACAAATCACACAGCCATTTCAAATGGATTATTGTTTTAATTGGTCTGTGATTGATGCATGAACAGACCCACAGTAAAAACCTTCAGAAAGAGGATTTCTGGCTGAGAAAAAAAAAACTGAATTGTAAAATTCCAGCCTGATCTCCAAAACCTGTTCGTAAAAATTTATACATACAACATACAAATCCGTAGTGATACATACTAAATAAATACGGACTGCAACTGATGGCGTCACCCTATTCAAAGTGAATGGGGACCTGCACCCCGTAAACACACTTTGTGAAGTCTAACGATGTAAAATAAACGTGTTATGATTGCATTTTTAACGAGAAATCAATGTAAACTTGTAAGAATACAATACTAACCCTAACCCCCTCAAAAAATCCAACATGGCGGAGAGACGTTCACTCAAGAATCCAACATGGTCCGCCATGTTGTTCACTCAAGGGGCGTGGTTAACCACCGCCAGTTCGTATGTATTGTTACGAATTTGTATGTTCATGATTTTCGTACACATTTTTACAAACAGGCTTTGGAGATCACGTTGAAAATTCAGGTCAACAGAAAAAAAGAAGAACCCATATCACCTTGAAAATTCTCCAGTTAATTACTTACATGAAGACAATTACTTTTTGTATTACAAGCTTTCTAACGTATCATCTTTATATATGCGAGGAATTACCGTATGCTATATTGTGTGATTTTAGTTCAAATCTACAGGCGCAAACAGACAAAGCTGTAAAGTAACCACCTGTTTCTTGGATTTTTTGTTTCCACTAGTTGGAAAGAAGACATGTTATGAAAGCAAAACAGCACAAAACCTAAAAAATGATCAGTGCACAAAAATGTTGGGTATTGAAGTATTCAGAAAACGTTGATAAAACCCCCAATGATGTTACAGTGAGCCGTTGGTGTGAGGAATGTTTAACTGTGTGTTGTCGACTTATTTCCTATTCAACATGCAACTCGTTGATTGATCATGCCAGCTCTTGGCAGCATAAACATATGATAAAATGCCATAATCATTCAGTATGATCTCCAAGGGTTCAATATTTTAAATCAGGTCTCTGTTTTATGTGTTAGAAAGGTCTGATAATGCTGATACCGGCTGCATGTTTTTTGATTTTATGGTTCTAATTTCCAGTCTAGTCCCATTGACACCATATTACATTGATTAATCGAGTAATATGATAAAAATAATAATAATTGCAAAGAAAGGATCAACAGATTCTGAACCCGAGCGATATTTACCAGTTTGCAACTTTATGAATACTTATGTGTTTTGCTATTTAATTGCACACAATAATAGCAAAGACTTGCAATCAGTTGCCCGACGGCGTGAACTCACTCTAGTTGGGCCGCAGCCATCGTTCCTATCGCTGCCTCGCCTTTCACACATGACGACGACAGAATGTTAAGCCACGTTTGTTCATTCAGCCTCTACATCATCATCGTCAACATGAATATGAAATTTTGGTGATTTGCTATTACCAGGCGGGGAGGACTGCAAAACAACTTCTGAATTTGGGGCTCAAATTCAATATTAAAAACCTTTTTGCATCTAAATGAATCAACAAACAAAAAACACTTTGTCATATGCGGTTAGCGTGCCAAATTATTAACATATGTTATACTCATATTACTTATTAACATATGTTATACTTAGAAGAAATACAATTCACAAATGTTTCTTCCAAAGACAAAATCTAGTCGCCTACGCAGCTTTCCGGATTGTCCTAGGAATGTAAGTGGATATATATCCTCACGTGAAAGGGACACCTCCTGCATTACTTCTCCTGTAACTCTATCACTCGTCGCAGATTGTGTAAGGGCCTTTCCGAGTGGAGCTGTGACGACCGGGGGGGGGGGCGATGCTGGTTACATAAATGGATCACAATTACAAAGAATCTGTAGTGCAGCTCATCTTCTCTATTGACACAAGAAAACAAATCATCATGAAGAATTAGTAACAAACCACAAATCAACTGCAATTGCTCCAGAATAGCTCATCTGATTTGACATTTCTGACGTTATATAAAGACATTTAGGTCTCCATTTGCACAAATTCTTGAGGCACTGTTGTAATGCATTCTGGAATAAATTCTTCCCTCACACAATTTGACTATGCATGTGGAAATGCTCCATTTGGCGCACCATATGGACTCTAGATAGCTACTACCCCTTCATCCCGAACAAAAATGGGACACACATGAGAGTACACAAAATGGAGCTATAGGACCCAGACTACGTGTAGATAACTCTTAGTGGTCACATTAAACCAGACACAGCTATGAAAGGGTTTCCATTTAATGCACAGCTAATGTTAGAAGCCTTTTGTGGCATGAATGTTTGGTTTCAGTTTGCCTTTCAGTGTTTCAATCTTTGTTGCGAGGCAGGGCTCTGTAGGTGCAATGACAGTAATAACACACACATTCTAGAGATTTAAAGAGGCATAATTTATGATTTGGCAGGTGGGGACAGCAAACCAGCTCAAACATCCTCCGCTGATTTATGGAATTAAACATTGATATCTTGAATAAATGTGTCAACTAGGGCTGAACTAGGATTTTCCACCGAAGCTTTAAATATGTGTTGTCATATTTTAAGAAAGAGATTAATTGAATTTGATTTTTTTTTAAAGTCAACTTTCCCTAGCGAATATAACTCAGCAGTGCAAACTGCTTTTTGAAAGACGTTAAAATAAAGACTAGACCCCAACAAATATGGTTTGCAGTACACTATTTTGTTAGATGAAAATATAATATAGCATTTTTTTTCAACAAATGTGAACTTACAAGAAACGTTTTGATCATAAACAACCCCATGCAGCAGCAACTGGAATCTAATTCTACATGTAGTATGAGACTAGTTTAGCTGATCTTTATCTGTAACTTTCCACAAATGTCGAGTTAAAATGCATAAACTGGACCAATTATAGGTCTCATATAAAAAAGTTCACTATTTGATACAGCCCTACTATTGACACATGGATACATTGCAGCATTAGTTAATTGACGAGAGGAATTTTAAGCTAACTTCTTAAATGTATTCTAAAGCTAAATCAGAGCTTTGGTTGCTATGCACATGTGGCTTTGCTTCAGCAGAAACTCGCCAAATAACCAAACCAGCGGCCTCTTTCTCTGTGCACGCTTTCCATCCAATATTTTGTCCCCATTTAGCTTTGGTCCCCACGGTTTAACGTTTAACGATTGATAATTCTCTGCAGGTTTGTGTGCACCTTTCTTCTAAGTATGCAACTAACAATTATTTGTCTTTGTCGATTAATCTGCTGGCCATTTCCACTTCTAGTTGGCTATAAAATGACAGAAAATAGGGAAAAATGTCAATCTCTTTTTCAAGATTTCTTATTTTATCCCCAACTCAAATATTTTTAGTTTAGTAACTGTCACAGGGGTGTGACAAACAACAACAACAACAACATTGCAACAGTCTGCAATTCACTTAATAGTTGTCATTATTGCAGCTTAATCAACATCTTATTAGTGCAGCTTTAATTAGTGATGGGACAGGTGGGCGGCCATCCTTCCCGATACTCTTTTCCATCATATTCACTTTTATCCGCTCTTTTGCACTGTGACTCACAATTGAAATACTTGCTGTTGTCATGAAAGCTCGCACAGCTGCTGGAGGGAGAGAAAGAAAGAGGCATAGAGAGCGAGAGAGACAGAAAGAAGTAGACAGACAGAGAGAGAGACAGACAGAAAGAGGGAGAGGATGTGATCTGATGCCTTTTGACAGTTTGGTATTTGGAATTGAAAGCACGGAGGC